GCATCACATATTTCTTTAATGTCAGCAATTTTTGCATCCATTCTTAACTCGCTCATCAACCCAATTATTTACTGCACTAAAATAAGAAAGTTTCGCGTAGCTTTCATTGAAGTACTCTTCAGAAAAACAACTATACAAGCTGAGAACACTGAAAAACGAATGTTTGGATCATTGAACAAAGTAGCACCGCTCAAAACAGAAGAACAACAACCACGACAACAGCAAAGGACTGCGAACGGATCGGACACAGCTAGTGACGCAGCATCGACAGTGGTGAGATGAAATGACAAAAAGCGAATGACATGCCACTAGTAAATTAAATGAGCAAGTTTTTCTGTGGATACCAAACAATCTTTTGGTTTAATGAATATATATGTTGTTAAACAGGAATATTAAGAAACGTAATTTCTTTGTACTTATGAGGGTGGGAGTACAATTATGATTTCCCAGATGTCATGGGTGCATCTAGGAATTTTCCAGCGGTACGATCCATTCTACCCCACTTCCCAGACCGTTCCCACGAGGAAAAAAACTAGCCTGCGAAAACATCCGTTCTGGCTCCTCGCTCTTCGCCGCTGGGGCCGTTTCGCGCGGAGGAAACGCAAAACGTCCCCAGCGGCGAAGAGCGAGGAGAAACGGATGTTTTCGGCAGGCTAGAAAAAAAAACCATGCAGTTTACGTTTTTATCAATGTGGTAAGATCGTCTCGAAGTAAGCGACACATTTACATATCACAGCTCACAACAAAAACTCGCGGTTACCCTTCGGGTATCCACGAGTACAAAATGAAGCAAGGTAGCATTGTGATAAAAATAGCCAAACAAGTTTCGAATAGTATGCAGGCGTATATCGTATACTAATCGCCCCCGCAGGGTTCCAGCCCAGAGGCCGAAACCCGAAGAGGCACCATAAGTCCCCCCGCGTAGAGAAGTATCATTTTTTTTCATTGTACAGTATTGATAATACGCGAAATCTTCTCGATTGAAGAAACTAGGCGCGCAAGGTGGTCCCGGTTACTTTTCCAGCATGCGCGCAAGGTGGTATTGGGAAATATTTGAAACACGTCGTTGACCATCCTCCAAAACCACCTTCCCCTCTTAGCTACACTTCATGAAATTCTAAGTCTCTTCCATCCTCGGAGACCCAGGAGCAGTCAGTCGGGTCAGGAGAAAGGGCCCGACGAAATTTTTCATAGTACTTGAAAACTTTCGTCGCACCCTTTCTCCCGACCCGACTGACTGCTCCTAGGTCTCCGTGGATGAGTCTCTTCAAATTTCTACTCTTCTAATCTTTTCTAAGTATAAGTCCCTTCAATTTAAGAAAAAAAGGACATTTGATGCGGCATAAGCGGGTTCCGAACCTGGGGTTTGAGAAACCGAAATCCACTTTAGTTATGTGAAAAGTTCAAGGACCTGGGCACCCTGTACTGTGACCTCAAGAATCAGGGACAAACCGGGGAACGAAATTTGCCTGAAGGGGTACAACATGTTAAGGACCTGACTGCGAAAACACCAAAGTATTGAAAAAAAGTGACAATACAGTTTATTTATAGAAATTTTCATTTCACGGTTCTTAGTTTCTTTTCCTTTACAAGACAGTAGTCATTTTAAGTTAAGAGAACACATCAAAGTTACCATAAAAAACAAGAATATTGTTTAACTTTCAAATACCTGATTATCGCAACACTCAGACTTGAGAGGTTGATCAACATGATAAGAACGCTTTTAGTGCGTAAATGCTACGTATTCTCAATTTTCGAAACCCCTCACCCCCACAACACACTGTTGACCCCTCAAATTTTACATAAGCTATTGTTTTCAAATCCTCCTGGTATAACTACATATTCCAGAGAGTATTTGAAAACAATAGCCTGAGAAAACAGCCGACATTTGGCGGGGAAAACAGCCGTAATGAAAACAAAACTTACGTAAATTTTGGGGGAGCGCATTACGGCAGATTTGAACATAGTCAATCGAGGCACCTGAAAGTGTGAAGTCTGGCATAGTTTAATCAAAAGCCCGCATATAACGGGCGTTATTCAGTAGAGCGAGAAGAGAGATCATTAATAATACGCTTTCCTTATAACTACCTAGTTAATTCTTACCAAGATCTAACTGAGAAACGACTTTGTCATTTCAAATCTCTGCCAGCGTTGAGGGGGCTATGTCACAGCGGTTACCGGTCGCTTCGATACAAGTTAATTCCTTCGAGGTGTAAATAGCATCACATACTTGGCTTAAAGAACGAAGAATATTCACCCAAAATGTTTTTTTTGTTCAATTGCAAACTTTACAATTTTTGTGCAATTTCACTGCTCGAGTTCGTATCGAAACGACTTTGCATCGCAGCGACCGGTTTTCGTCACGGCTGTCCAGTTCATTTTGTTAATATTGCCAATTAGAGATCTTTATCCGCTATGGAACTTAACATTAGTGAACAAATAACTTGTAAATAACACAGCCTCTTGTCAGGCAAATATGCCTCCCAAGTATCTTATCAAACGTTACAAACAGCAAAACTGTTAGGCTAACAAGTTTCTTCAAATACACAATTGCAATCCGTTTCAGTCTTCTTCAAGTTTGTCCATCTGTGCCTTCTTTTGTCTTTTCCTTGTTATTTATACTTTCTTCTAATGTTCTCAGCGGGTTATTTTTCTATTTTTCTTAATTTAGTGGCATTTCCTACTGTTAAAGTTTTGATAAATTGTGTGACACAGCTCCTTTCTAAAATACGACTTTTATTACCTTAAGAATTTTACTTTCAATCAGATAGACCTATAACAACGTGCATTGCAAAATTAGGTGACCTGGTCACTTCTAAACTCGGAGAATTATAAGGAATACTACTGATATGTTCTCACTGACGCGACAACGAATTTCTTTAGAGCGCTGACCCAACGGACCATCTCAGGAGGGAAAAATTTAGTGGCAGTTCCTACTGTTAAAGTTTTGATAAATTGTGTGACACAGCTCCTTTTTAAAATACGACTTTTATTACCTTAAGAATTTTACTTTCAATCAGATAGACCTATAACAACGTGCATTGCAAAATTAGGTGACCTGGTCACTTCTAAACTCGGAGAATTATAAGGAATACTACTGATATGTTCTCACTGACGCGACAACGAATTTCTTTAGAGCGCTGACCCAACGGACCATCTCAGGAGGGAAAAATTTAGTGGCAGTTCCTACTGTTAAAGTTTTGATAAATTGTGTGACACAGCTCCTTTTTAAAATACGACTTTTATTACCTTAAGAATTTTACTTTCAATCAGATAGACCTATAACAACGTGCATTGCAAAATTAGGTGACCTGGTCACTTCTAAACTCGGAGAGTTATAAGGAATACTACTGATATGTTCTCACTGACGCGACAACGAATTTCTTTAGAGCGCTGATCCAACGGACCATCTCAGGAGGGAAAAATATCAAGATCGTCCAAACACCCTCATGGAAATCTTCTGCTCGTCCCAAATGAGAGTTTTTCAGTAAGTACTTGTAATAATTTTTAAACCGCGCAGGCAGACGGATATCATGTTGTGAGTTGTGTTTTCCTATAGATCTTTAAATATTTTGTTGTGTGATTGTTGAAGGTATCACGATAATGATCCAGTGTACAAATTAACATGCAAATTACTAAACCAATTCCGCAGTCCATGGTAAAGAATACTACATAACTGCATTAACTGGGCTACCAGAAGTTCTTACCTTTCTCGAACTTCTGTCATTTTTTTTTCAAAAGCCGCGATTCATTTCAATATCAAACCTGGATATCACAACAGACGCCTTCGCAGAAGATCTCTTTCTTTTAAGAAAAACTCTACCAAAAGAATTGCTGTCCAATCACATTCATTTAACCTCTTCTAACTGAAACATTTCACGCCAAAGAAAAATGCTCTGTAAGGGTCCATGTGATCTCGTAGATTTCATTGACTTTATAACGTAATGAGTTTGTCAGCTGGACTCGGCGAGGTCGCAGATTTCAAAGGTGGTACCAACTCGCTGGAACACTCTTCTGAGGACGGAACGTAACTCCAGCTTGCATTCCACCAACAACATGTTGCAAAGCAGCGGGTAATATCGTGAAATGTGTCTCTTGAACTGTTAAAACAACATAGAACAGTCGTTAGAAGTGCAGCCAGGATTACCTTGTCCCTGTACGGCACTTTCAAGGCCTTCTCAGTCAAAACGAATTGGCCGCGTGGAATAATGAGGCTTAAGGACTAGGAAACATCTAGGAGAGGTGCTGCCTACAAGCGTCCGTGTTTGTTCTAGCACGGCGCGTGTAGTGTCTTGGGAACGATGTAATGCACCTTCCCATGACGCCCTGCACTCTCTGTTTTCCGTGCTTGCGGTGGCGCCTAAGAACGAGGTAAAGGAAGGTCTCTGTTTAAACGGTGGGCATGAAATGTAGCGTTCAGTGTGGCTGAGACAAACCTTGATTGAACGCATGACAAGTAAAGGTGTCAACTGCTCATTGCAGGAGCATAATAACAATAACAACAACAAGAATTTGCAAGGTTAAAACAAAAATACAGTTGAACCTCCTTTAAGCGTCCGACTTTTAAGCGGCCAGTAATCAAAGTCCCGAAATAAAAGAATGGGAACTTAAACTCCTATTGGACGGCCACGTCTACTGGGCGGCTGCGGCCACCTATTGGTCCTCCCAAAGAGAGTTCTCCCACTGTTGTGGCCTCTACTAAGCGGCTACAAAGCGCTTGATTCACTTAGTTTGGCTTTATTTTCAAGAAAAAAAAAATGAAGGAAAATACAGTCCGAGATAGAGGTGATGTGTCTTCTAACGATTATGTTAATTCATGACGAACCGCTATTAAGCAGTCAACCGCCATTAAGCGGACACTTGCCGGTACCCCGAGAGAGGCCCATTAATGGCGGTTCAACTGTAGGAGTAAGCCCAGACTGCGCGTTTCTGTATGACTGTAATCAGAAATTTTTCCAAACCATGCTTGACTAAGAATGTTGATTTTAAGTGAAAGGGAACGTACTGGCGGATACTCTGTGGAAACAATTCAGAACGCCTTATATGACACTGGAATTTGGCAATGCAGGGAGACTCGTGTCGGGCATTTTTACCTCTACGTGCCGGAGTGGATTCAGACTGAACAAGGACGAAAAAAAAAAGAAAAAAACGCAAAAAAAAAAGAACATAATGAACAAACAAACAACACTGAAGTTTAAAAGTACAGCTTAAATAACAAGCAAATTTATCATTACACAATATTTTCCGAGACCGTATCTTCAAATAACAAAGAAAACAGTTATCTGAGTTTTAAGACAAACGTACCCGTTCGCTATCAAGTTTTAGCAGTCTGTTCAAGAGCAGCAATAGAAGAGACGTCCAAGCATCTCGATGACTGGAGGATTCCAATGAAAGAAAATATCGCAACGCATCTGTGCATATTCTGAGGATAAAAAACACAAGAACAGCTGTTAAATAGAACTCTCTAAGAAGGTCGGCATGAATGGGAATTAAGTCTTCCTCATTATATATGAGTGGAGAAAGGTTTCTTCAAACACTTCTCCTACGCACTCAGATGATTAGAGAATAGAGGGACCCAAATTCAGCTTGTTACCTTAGAGATCGCTGTTCAATTTCGGGCCATGAATCTTTCCTTTCTTCGTCCGAATACATTCTAAACAAAATGCGCAGCATACAGGCCAAGCTGGACGTTTCCTGCTTTAATAAATTGGGTTTAGACTTCCCTTTAAAACCTGTAGAGAAAACAGTGAAAAGATAATTAATTCCGTACTACAGTAAACACCCGCTAATAAGAGCCTACATGATTTTAAGTCTGGCAAAATAGGTTCCTTTATTTTGGGGTACTTAGTGGCGATTAGGCTAAGTAGGTTCTTAATTTTCATGAAGGAGATAATACAATGTCGATAACCAGAAAAATAAATAAACTTTTTCCTTATTCACAATATTATTAAAATAACCCTAACAAAACTGATTGCAGAATTTATATACAGTTAAGTACAGTATGTTCTTGTTATACTTAAATTTACAACTTAAAGTTTTACCCCTTGGTTAAATTTTTATCATAATAACCCACATATAAGACCCTGCTTGATCTTGCCTGGCTAAACAGGTTCTTGTATTTTTGGGTATTAAAGCAGCAAATTTCTGCCAGGAGGTTCTTAATCCATAGGTTCTTTTAGCGGGTGTTAACTATACCGCCGCCTAAAAATGTTGAAACTCGTTTCCACGGTATTATTTGCAGCACTCTCGTTTGCCTTGATTTCTCTAACAATTTATATGACTTGCTCCGGGCGTTCAGCTTCTGCCGAGCAAGGGAAAAACAGGGAAACTGCAGAGAGCTATTTTGAGAAAACCAAGGCTTCAGAACTAAACTCATTTGTATAAACATGTTTGCATAGCTTCCTTAAGGAGCCGACGACAGCTCCTGCTAAAGGAATGCTAACAATATCTTTTGAAAATGTTAAGGCCGCCTGTAAAAACAAAGCTAAACAAAATAAATCTCCATGATTAACTCACCAGCTTTCATAAGGAATGTCCTCTGTTCATTGTTGGAGTTAAAGGACTTCGCGAATTGATGAGACTCTTCCAAGCAGTCGACAAACAGAAGCAACTGGGGCGAGCTAAGGAATGGGAACATTCCTGCTTCCGCAGCAGTCTCGCTCACTGAACTGTCTAACCGTGTGCGGGACACTTCGCCAGACTGCAATCAAGGCGCTCATTAGTATACATGTAGGTAAGTGGCAGCTAGCTTGGACTACTGTTACTTGGGGCTTAATAGAAGGGAGGTTAAGCATCACGTTTAAGTCAAACGGCAAACGCGATTTGTACCACGTGACCAAGTTTTCCCTTTGCTTGTCGCCTATTATCCATCAGATTTCTACACATGAATTAGTAGTTTCAACCAATTTTTTATCCATAAGAATTTTGTGAGCTGTTTTTATCGGCTCATTTTCTTTTTTGAGAAATTCTCAACTTGAATATGACGTTTGCCGTTTGCCGTATACGAGAAGCTTAAACTCTCTAGAATGTTCCTTTTCTCAGGGCAGCAAAACTAGCTCGGAAAAATTCATGAGGGCTTAACTTGTCACTTGTAAATATCACATGGAGTAAACGCCTGAATACAGCCGCCCCTGGTCTCTATCCCCGCCTTATATAATTTGTTGCGATTGAGAGACATAAGAAAGAATTAGTCAGAAATAAATATTCAGAGACGAGCGGGGATTCGTGGGATAGTTTCAGACTATCTATGTTTTTAGCCCGGGATTTGCAGCATTCTACGTCATCTCAGTTGTTGTGTTCGCTTTCGTTTTGTTTTGCAAAGTTCCTTTTCCGATAGTTTATACTCTTACGCGTTCAAATCTGTATGTCTTTGTTACATCCTTACTTCAGTGTATTCTTTAGAAATATTAGACTCTTTTTGGAGTAGTCTGTGTAACAAAGTATTTACTGTTCTTTTGACCACTTTTCACTACGGCCAGTTTTTTCAGCGGTTTTTCATATCTGGCATGGCACACGTTATAGACTGGAAGATTTAATAGTATTTCGCTGGAAGCCTCCCACGCAAACATTTTTAGGGCTTCGTAACACGTTCCTTCCCCAGGAACGTTCAAGGGAAAGGGACGCAAGACGAAGCCCTAAGAATGTCTGCATGGGAGGCTACCGAATGTATTGCTTTGTTCTGTTAAAGGTAAAATTTAATCCCGCTAAAAGCACATTTCTGGTGAGAGGATTGTCAATTAAAACGAGGCAAAATAAGACAGCAGAGGTCAAGACTGAAAAACGTGTGCGAGAACGTGACCCGCCTTACCCTTGAAAAGGAACGGGAGGGGTGGACAAACTGGAAATACCGGGTTAGTTTCCATGATATGACAAACAGGAACCATAACAAACGTCACCAAATAAGGATTGCGCTCTCCTGTATTGAACGCAGTTAATGGTATGCTCTTTCACAATAAAGCGGAGACGTGTGACGTCACATTTCTATCGTAGCAAAATTTCAAGATCTCAATATTCTTTCTTGACAGAGATGGCCATTTGCATTGTCGAACGACGGAAGAAAAGTATGGGCTACCCCCGGGGGGCTACCGTTTTCTTCTAGAGTGCAATCGTGCACAGGAAAGTCACAATGTCAATTGTTTCGTTTTCTTTTCTGTCATGGTTTGTTCAGATCCAGACCATGGCTACATGACGTAACGATTTCTCCTACCTAGTGCAAATTATTCGAATAACAGTGGAAAGAATCTACAATGTCCTCCTCACCTTAGCAGAAGCGAGGTTTTCGGCATCTTCTCTACGACTTGTGGCAGGAAAGAACACTACATTGTCAATGGTTTGAATAAGCTCCAGTTGTACAACACAGCGAATCAGGAGAGAAGTAAATAACTCTTCTGCAGTGTTATCTGAAAATGGCGGTAAGTGACAGTAAAATTACAGTGGACAAATGTCATCGTGGATTCTGCAAGAGCCACTGCAATAGGCTACGTAGCTGGCGGTTTTGTTTCTCGAGCGCCCAAATGAGCAGTAAAGCCGTGAGGAGAATGGAGCGGAGACAACTCCGCTGATTTGCACCGTTCATTTGCCCTCTCGCCAAACAAACCGTCAGCTACTCAGGCTACCACTGTAAGCAAACAAGTCGGTTCCTATTTGCGTTAACCATTATGCACTTCAAAACCCTTTTATACATTAGAAAGAATAAAATAAACATATAATAAAATAAACAAATAAAACAAAATAAATAGATAAATGAATGATGGTTTTAATCTCGGGCTCGCCTTTTCCCTCAAGTTTCCATTTGATGCAAAAAATATCATGTTGTAAGTAAATAAATAAATAAATAAATAAATCTGAAGGAGGATCCTAACATCCTTGTTTATACCAGGCTAATGAAGTTAATGAAATCGTTTGGTACCAAAGCAAAAGAAGTACACTTTCCGCCACAAAAGAGAACGTTTTCTCCTTTCGGCTGGCATTTTGATAGAAAAACGGCTTTCATAATTCAAACAATGTCACCATTCCGCTTTTAAATCCCCATGAAAAGTCACGCCAAAAATAAGGCACGCAGTCAAAATAAACAAACAAGAAGACGGCATAATAAGGGGGGATACAACCTTTGTGGCAGGTAATAAGCGAGATCGGGCTGGAGCACAAATTACAGATTACATGTACATAGAAATTATAAATTTCAATTTAGAAAGGTTGAAATTTTGTATTTCATCCTTGTTACTCACAGTGATGAGGCGGGCTTTCTAAGGGCTCTGTTCTAACTGACGACAGTGTCGTGATCTGATTCGAGCGCTCTTTTTCTTGAACCTGCAGTGCATCTTCAGCGGTGTCAGCTTGCTTTTGTTCAGCATTGAATGTCTCTGTTCCCCAAACATCCCCATCTGTAGGAATAAATTGGTTCTTCATTAAATAACGCATCAATTATAGCTGGCATGTCTTCAAGCACGGACCATCATTTTTTCACCATTTTTTTAACATGTCGCTATCTTGCGCAAACCTTTTTTTTTCGGATATACCTTCCTGCAGAGATTTTTTGGGGGTATCCAGCAAATGTTTCAGAGGTTATTAACATACATCTCAATTCTTTTTTCCGTAAAGTATTCATACATCTTATATTTCAGGCATCACTTGCTCAGAGGATACCCTGGAAGCAGAGGCTACATTTTCGCGGTATAAGGTGGCGTGCGAAACGCCAGCTGATACCGCGACAACGTAGCCTCTGCTCGAATGGTACTCAGAGGATGGATGGCGCTACTCATAGAATAAATCACTGTCCAGTGGGTCTACAATCATTGTTAGACGACCCACATGACGGTTCTCTCGGAGATTACTTCCTCCAATGTCTATTGTGGGTTTATTAGTCCTGTAATAAAAGCCTCAACCTGTTGCTTGTCCGTGAAAACAGATTACTTTGTCGGGCGTCCGTTGCTTTGCAAAATTTTCAAGGTGACGACAGATTGGGTTATTACTTATTACTTAGTAAGGGTTATTACTTATTGGGATAGGTCACCACATGAGACAAAAAAAAAACAAACAAACATATCTGAACAAACCTTCCTGTAGACGAGGAACTATATCGTGTTCTGGTCTTACTTCCAAGTCCACCGACCGCTGTTAAAAATAAAAATTTCCAACCGATATCAGATTGAAGCGCATGACTGAGCGTGTATACAAAGACGAAAGTGTGTCAGTGACAACACGTTCGAGACATTACTTAGAACAAAAGACTCCAAAAAATTTCCGTGTTCCAGATGAGATTCGAGCTCACGACCCTCCGAGTTTTAGATCGGACGCTCTATCCACTGAGCGGGATGATCATATTGCATGAGATAGATGCAAACTTACCGTCTCAAAAGAATGTTGGCGGTCCGGAGTTCGTACAGGGCTGTCGGGAGTATGCGTGGGTGTAGACTCGGGGGTTGGTGTCCCTGTGGTTTGTGTCTCTGGTCTCCAAGTAAGCAGCTCATTTGGTACAGTAGAGGTGAATATGTCCCGGATGCAACGACACGCCCTTTGCCACATTTCTGAAGAAAATTGAGAACCATTCGAGACTACCAGGTTCTCAAGACAGTTAGTGCCAGACCTCGCAAGCTGCTCATTATCTGGGAAGATACAAAAACGTATGTTCCGCGTGAGGGACTATTTACATGATACGAGACGAACGCGTACAATAACAACGAATGTACTTTTTAATACAACAATGAGTGCGAGTCAAAATTTCTTAAATGAATAAATTTATACACGTGATGGCCTGGAAATACGGTGGAAAATCGCAGACCAATAACACTACACGAACGACTTTCATTCCGGAACGAAACCCAGAATGAAATTCGTACTGAATTCACATGTTAAAGCGTTCTCGCTAGCGCCAGATCAGATACGAATGCGCCACTCGCCCCAGACTAGACGGTTTGCGATTTTCAATTCAGAACGAAGTTCTCTTTCATTTTACATTATGCTAGATTGAAGTCTCATACCAGAACGAGAATTTCGTTGGGATTGAAAACCGGAATGAACACATTCCGGAATGACCTGTACGTGAACAAAATACCCTAACTACATTTAAAGTTACGTAAATGTGTGATAGAAGTATTATAGTGTAACTTAAAGATCAGTAAACTTGAGAATCTCTCTGTAGATGTTTAAAGAGAGTTTCGCTCTTAGGGTGTCTCTACTAAGATCTTATTTTCTTTACGCCACTGACGCACAGACCAAGAGACAGACAAGATCGCACACCCACAACACGTTTCAAATTGAATTTGAATAGGCTATTTGCAAGATGGCGTCATTTTACTACCACGACAAGAGTCCTTGGGGGTTTTGATTTCTTGTGCAAATAAGAACTTTTCTTATTTAAACCTCACTGGGATTTCCAAATTTAAATATGAAAGGAAAAACGAAAAGTATTCTGGCCGTTAGTAGTAAAATGACGCAATTGTGCAAATGGCCTATTACTTGAAATGACGAACTCTCAATGCACGTAAAGACAATTTTCCATTTTGCATCGACTCTAAATCACCGATTAAATACCTTTTGACACATTTTAAACACCAAAAGCCAAATTCTTTTAGTTCTCCGCCACTAAACGTCTTTCCCGCACTTTGTGACGGCCGTTAGCTTTTTTTTTTTCTGTAGCGCTTGGCGCAGGCTGCAGGTTTTTTCCCGCGCTTGGAATCAGAGTGACGTAGTCCACCTCTTTAAATCAAGTACTGCGAATGTTTTCTCCCCCAGACAGTTTACAGCATTTGATAAGTTTTTCCACTTTAAATTTAACTGGAATACTTACCTTGTTGAACACACCACAGTAAGTGTAAAAACATGTCCTCTAACAGAACATCAGACAACACTTCAAAATATTGCGTGAAAACGTCGATTACCGCGTACAAAGCATGGTTACATGTGGTCGTCATCCACTCAGACTTCTATAGCAAAAAAAAAAAAAACAGCAAAAATCCAGGGTGAACAGACTATAACCACTCATCACGCGGATATGAAAGACTTACACGACATATTCGTGTTGTTAAATCAGCATTAGATCCCATCGGCCTAAAACCCTTGGACACCCTTGAAGTTTACACAACGTTGTATTCTTTATTGCTTCTACACGGCACTTAGATGAAATTTCTAAGTTTCTTGACATTTCTACTGAGGAAATGTTTACGAAAGTGTTAGTCTCTTCAATCTTTAAAGAAAAAACAATTTAGAAGAGCGAGAGTAGAATCGAACCCAGAGCGTTGCGTTTGAAGTCCATCTATACCACTACGCCACTAAGAATTTGCTGGCGAGCATTGGTTTGATTTGAAGCTATAGAGCAACAATCCTAACCCTAACTAAAAGGAAGCTAACCGCTGGGAGTCAGTGCTTAACCCTAATCAGTATTGTTGCTTAACCCTAATCATTATAGTCAGTGCGTAACCCTAATCACCATAGTCAGGGCTTAACCGTAATCACTATAGTCACGCGATAAGGAATACTACCAACCCAAGAGGGTTTAGGCCGATGGGATCTAATGCTAACCCGCTTGATCCGTAGGCGACACGACCTTGGAGACATAGCATTTTTTTACACGCACCGCCAATTAGAAAGCAAGCAGATAATCCAGTGAACCAATCAAAACTCAAAGAAGAAAACTGTAGGGCGAACCGCGGAAAAATGCCGGTCACAGTTGGTTTTGGGCACATAATTCAGAGAAATAGGCTAAGCAAAGAGAAACGCAGAGAGTAAGGTAATCATTTTTTAAAAAATGTTCTTTATTTGCATATCAATGACTTTAGCACAAAAGTAGCAATTGTGGACACTATATATTTTTACATCTTCATGTAGAGGCAGGTACCTTCATTTCTCAGTTTAATATTTTAAGACCCTGAGTATTGGTCAGGCCCTGGAAATAGAACACGAGACTTTCCGCATTGCAGTGAAGCGCTCTACCGATTGAGCTAGTCTTCAGTGCTCGCGGTTAAGAAACTGGATATAGCAAAAAATATTTTAATCACTTACCTCTGACCAATCGACCTGTTGATCTGGTAGCTTCATGTTATCAAAAATCCTGAACACCACTCTGAATACATCTCTCCACCAATGCTGCTGAAATGTGTGCCCGTAACTTTTCATGATTTCAAACATCACTGTTAAACCTCTGCAAAGAACACAGTTTAACACAGGAAACTTAATAACCAAAATTAAAATTAGTTACTACAAATCAGCTGGTAAGGTAAACTGATCTGTTTTCTACCTGCAACAAGCGGTTCTTTGACTATCAAATACCGAAAGACTCGTTCAAAATGAAAAGTAATGCAAACATTCCTTGATAACAGTACAAGCTTTAGCAACAAAGAAGGCGACGGCAACGAGAAAGAAAAAAAGCAACAATGTTGCGCTAAAAATCGTTGTTGCAAATCGCCTCGGGCAACATCACCTTAAAACACGACGTAAACAAGCGACGACGAAGTTTTCTTTCTCTTTCTAACTTGAGTGCGGTCCCCAACAACAACAACAACAATTTTATTGTACCAATAGTAAAAACGGAATCAGAATAAGACTATAACAAGCTAATAATTATTTATGGGACTGGCTGTCTGGAATAACCACGGGGCTAAAAAGACAAGACAGCCATTTTCTTTACAATGAAATAAAATTATCTGAAGTCGGTTCATGATAAGACGATTACATAAAGTAAGTGTGGCAATCACACAAGGCAGAACAAACACAGACACACAAACAAACACACATAAAGCATATAAATTATAATAAGCAGTAACGAAAAGCACAGAAGATTACAAAAATATAGCTTTGAAACACACAAGAAATCAATTTCGGGTAAATTCAACTCATTTGACATTTTCCTCATCGAATTGAAATAAACGCGACAAAGTTTGAAAAAAACGCGAATTCGACTTAAAAGTGACGACGATTTTTAGCGCGGCAAAGCGTTCCAATGTTGAAAAAATGCTGCAACCATTCGAAACAATATCGCTACAATGTTGCAACGCTGTATTGCGCTAAAAATCGTCGTTGCGAGTTGTCCCGTGTAACATCACCTTAAGAGACTTTTGGTAACAGTACCAAACGGTTTCGATAACTCGAGCGAAAGGTTATCATTTACAAAGGAAAATTAGTCCCGTCCCGTCTTGTCCCGTAAACAAACCTGGTTCTGACGTCAAGTTTACACCTGTTTATGATACAGGACAGTTCAAAGAGGACTGGAAACCAGCCTTTGACCCAGACCTTATCGGATTCTGGGATGCCGCCGTCTTCGCTACTGTGTTCCTTGAACATCTGTAAATGAACATTGTCGTGAAATTACTTTAAGAACACTATATTTCCCAGTTAAAAAATGTAGCTACATTAAAACAAATTCATTTACAGACTGAAAAGATAAGAGCATGACGGAAAAGACAAGGTGAAGCAATATGATGCGTCCCAGAACGCGGACGAATTTGTTACAGCCTGAAAGCAAAACAAGGACTCCGTGGTACGTAGACACTAGAAATTAAAAGGGAACTACAGACCCTTTAAAGGTAGTTCAAAATGGCAAAAGAAGAAATCATTTACTGACTAAACTAAGGCCACGTAACAAACAACGTGCTAGTACCCAGGACTGTAGCCGTCCAACGCGAGACGTATTTCCAGTCGTCGTCATTTCTCTAATACCGTATTTCCTCGAATAATAGCCGCCCCTCGATTAATCGCCTAACTCGAATAATCGCCCCCTCCCACCTTAGCCAGAAATAAATATTTAAAATAATCGCCTCTCTCGAATAATCGCCCCCCTCCACCCCACCCTTCTCGCCATCTCCTCTTTCTTTTTTCCCCTCCTTGTAAAGCTGAAGTGGAGTCTGTCTGATGCGGCAAACTTCGGCAAAACGATTCAAGCTCTGACGCCGAGGATCTTGACACTGAAAAGTAATCAAAGAACCAGTTTGGAGCGCTAAAAAAGCCCGTGTTCAGTTTATTTGAGGTGATCATTTTTTGATTTAATGGGAAAATAAAACAAAATATTTAGGGCATGACTTTCAGTGAGCAATGTTTGTAATGATCGCTTTCCTCGAATAATCGCCCCCTTTCTGCGCGAAAAAAAAAATAATCGCCTCCGACTATAATTCAAGGAAATACGGTACGTCTGTGTTTGCAAGCTACAGGCAGAGATGCTCGATCCCCAATTTAAACATAGCCTGAACTTACCTCTGGGTTATCGTATACATATTTTGCACAGTTCCTGATAAGTCTAATGGCTTCCATACTGGTGTCAGGAAATGAAGCGTTACACGCAAATTCAGACAAACATTTGACAGCATCTTGGAATGAATCAATAGTGGCGTGAAAGTACTTCTCGAATATGGTGGCTGGAACAAGAACAGAGAGAATAATTACAACAAACTTCAGATAAATGTGTCAGAATAGTTTTAGCTCGACTTCTGTATTTAACCTGTGTTAAGTCTTTAAAGTGGCAAGGTCAACAAAAAGATATTCTTAAAAGGAATTCATACATTTCTATTCAGTACTTACGGGGAGAATTTGTTATAAAATTTAAGAAGGCTAGTCTTTGTCCATTATTTCCTTACATCTCAAGACCTGGATTGTTTTGCTTTGCATTGTTTTGAACAGGTAATTATTTACAATAAATGGAAGGGCAGGTCACTGAAGCGAAAACAGGAGGTCATTATTACGAATAAATACCAATTTTTCCACTTTAATAACCACAACAATGACCTACTAGTTCTGAAACAAATGAAAGGTGCATTTAATCGGATAATGCCTACGCGCTCGGTCATTATTTTGAAAGGTTGAGGAGAGAGGGCATATATTATCCTGTAATAACACTACTATTTTAAGCTAATCGCTGTTGGGACTGAAACGGCTCACGTTCTCCAGCAAATTATAGCATAAACGCACTGCATTTCTCTTGGGAGGTCAGGCCTGCGTTTTGAGCAACCTTTTTGCCATCTCAGGTGCCATTTCAACCGAGGAAGTCTTCCCGCCTCTCGCATCAAGTTTGTTCCATTGTGTAGTTCCAAAAAATATCCATACCCCTCCCACGGAGGGCACTTTTGCTTTAGATCCCCCACCCCCCGGAATTTCCATAATTTTCCAACTTGGTTAGGCACCCCTGGAAAAGATATTTTCGTCAAAAAAGCTATTGCACTAAACTATTATGCAGAAGATAATTGTTTCTGCAATAAAGAGCGAAAAATCCTTTATTAAAGTTAATACAGTGTAAAACATTTTGCCCAGTAAAGGTCTTCTCTAGTTAATAATTAACGGTAAGTCACTGAGAAATATGGAAGATACCTTACATGACACAAATGATGCCATCTGTTAAAGAACCAGTTAAGTTTAAACTAAACACCGAGTGGACTTCAATCACTTCTTTTCATTAGGGAGGTTATGCAACGACGTTTTTGAGCGGCGCACGTCAACCGGAAGTGGACTTTTTGCACTCTTAAGCCGTGACTTTGAACAAATTTTTGGTCAAATCGTCTCTATAGGAGTAAAGACACTTAGCAAAACACATTTGGTAGCGTCAAGGCATATTAAAAGAGAAAACGGCTCACTTCCGGTTGAGGTGCATCGCTTAAAAACGTCTCTGCTTAAACTCCCTATTTCAAGACACGTCAGAAGACGGCTTAGAACGCGACCACATTACGGTGAATACCACAAAATATTGTGTAATAGAGCAACAGCTAGATAACTGGAATCTAACCTACAAATCGCCTAAGCCGTGAAAAAAAGCATTCAGCCAACTTAAAATAAAAGATCATCATTCTTGTGTTAAAAGACCATTAACAGCAAAATAACTGATACATGTAGCTTGCTCAATAGAGCAGCTGCTATTCTTTAAATAACCTTCCAAGAATTTCCGTTGGCCTCCGTGGGTGCGGGGGGGGGGAAAGCTGGGAATGGAAATTTTCTGGAACTGCACATTTTGCCTTTTGCCTTTAGTCTGTTGTATTCTTTTTTTTGGGGGGGGGGGGGCGGGGGGGGGGGTCCGTTAAAACATTTTGATTCAGTAGACTTGGCAAAACCGTGGGGAGAACAAATACACAATTCAAAAGGAAAATTTGGAGAAGTTGAAGAAAAAAAAAAGGAACGTTATAACGTCTCCACAAGTTTGAAGGAGGGATCCTGAGACGTTGGTGGTTTGTGGTGGTGGTTGGGGGGGGTGGGGGGGGGGGGGTGGGGGGTGGAGTGGTGGTGTTGGGATTTCTTTTTTGTTGTGCTTTTTTTTTTGTTTGTTTTGGGTGTTGTGGGTGTGGTGTGGGGGGGGGGGGGGGGGGGGGGGGGGGCGGGCTTCCGTTAAAACACTTAGACTCAGTAGACTTGGCAAATACGTTGGGAGAACAAATTCACACTTCAATAGGAAACTTTGGAAGAATTGAAATAAAAATAACGTAAAGTTATGAACGTACCAGTAGTTTGAAAGGCGAGTTCCACTATTCCTTCATCCTCATCTGATGCAGCTAAGTGAAATACTGAGAAAACATTCTTCCAGCCGGACTTGATATTGTGAGCCTGCGAGTGTACCATTTGTGCTACACAGCGCACTACCATGTCACGTATAGTAGCAGACCTGCGAATTTTCAAACGAAGGTAATTCATTTTTGGAAGACATAAGGGCACATATTGCAGGAGCCAACAACTTGTTTACAGGTCGAGCACATCTCGGCCTTTTGTTCCTTCCGACGAAGTTAGGGCATGCGCCGTACGTAAAATTTCGCTTTTAGGGCTCCTCCCTTCATTTTCCTGCTTTACTTATCCCGTTGTTTTCCTGTTTTGGTGGCTTGGCATTTACTAGCCTTCATTTCATTGAAAAAAGTTTTTTTGGGAAAGCTTTCAGGGTCGTAGAATTAGAAGGAAGAAAGTGCAGGTGGGAAGTGGACACGGAAATTTTCCCGACGCAATTTCACTTTGGAAACAGATATTTGCTTCCCCTTGGGCAAGCGTCTTATGTAACAGGGGTAAAATGGCTAGAGCATCCGCAGCTATTGTTACCGCTCCTGCTTGAGCACGTGCCAATGATACGTTGTGTAATTTTAGGTTCTCATTATTTTAAACAATTGTAACTCTGATCATTGTAATCCAATTTGAAATTGTAACTTCTTCACATTGTATCGTATACATGCAAAGGAAAACGTAACAATAAATTAAACTGATAATGACACGAGTCATGCCGAAACGTCTTCAAAAGTTGGATCGTTTGTCTTCACATTATTTTGATTTTACCATTGTCACCAAGTTATAGAAGCATCATACACAAACAAAACTTCAAATGACATGATGAGCGAAAACTGCTTGTAACGAAAATTTTATTGGTTAGTTTAGTTTTGAAAAAAGACTTATGCAAGATAAAATTTATTGTCCATTAGCGAAAAATACTCTGCCATGGCTTTCTCTTTTGTTTTCAAAACGTAGGGCAAGCAATTTCACTCTAGAAAACTGTTTCCCTTAAATTTCATCTCATCAACGTGTGTACGCATTACTTATAAAAAGACAGCAGGGCAAATTGCCTTCAGGCACAACACATCACCAAGATAATGAAGTATTTCACAACAGGCCGGAAATAATTTCAGCCTGTTTTAAACGTCGAACTTCATTCACACGTGTCGAATCTAATGCAAATTAACGAGAACATTACATTTCCCTCAATAGCATCACATTTGGCACCTGTAAAGTGCGACATTTAATACCACGGCTTCTTATCAAAACTTCAATAACTGTTCAAAGCAGAGAATATTCCACAATTACAGCACGTTTAACAAGCAACTCAGTTTATCACATGTAGTTTCCAGCGGATCGGCTAATCTTAAGTGTAAAACGGACCAGACGACGCGTTCCTCCTGTCCAGACGAGAAACAAAAGTTTAACACAGCCAAGGAACTGAAAATGAACCTAAGCGCGACTTTTCAAACCAAGGGGATTACCTCTGACTGTGAGCTTTGCATTTTCTTGGGAGGAACTTTAAATGAAAGTACCAGAGAGGCATATACGGTACTATTGTACCTTATTATCATAAACGTTCTTTCTCTCCCCTTAACAAGCGTGTTAAATGGACTGGTCATATTCGCCGTCAAAAATAAACCACGCCTGAAAACCACGAGCAACGTTGCACTCGCTTGTTTAGCGACAACCGATTGTGTGATGGGAGTGATTGGACAGCCCTTTTTCGCTGTACAACTGGCAGTACTGTTACAGGGAGAAGGATCAAGCTCGTACTGCCCGCTTTTAGCAACGTCTGTAAACGTTGTAAGGGTGTTGGGCGTAGCTACTTTTTTTCATATAACTGTCATGAACATAGAAAGATACATTGCTATAAAGCACTCGCTGAAGTACAAGACCCTGGTAACCAGAGGTCGTTTACTCCGTGGGTCCGCATTCGCGTGGGTTGTTTCATTCTTGCCAACAGTACCTCTGAGTTTCACAGACAACGATATTTACTTGCTGGTTAGCAATATGACGGGCTGCTTATGCATGGCGATCATTACTTTCTGTCAAATTGTGATTCTCCAGGAGACTCGAAGTCTTAGAAAGCGAATCGCAGTCCTTCATGTTTCACCGGAAGAAAGGCAAAAGTTTTTAAAGGACAAAAGAGCTTTTCAGCTAACAACGATTGTACTTTTTGTCTTAGTATTAACATATTCACCAATGTTTGTTGTACGAATACTCATAACCAATTCTATCATATACTCAAAAAATGTGTCATATATTTTTTTAATGTCAGCTATTTTTGCATCCATTCTAAACTCGCTCATCAACCCAATAATTTACTGCATTAGAATAAGAGAGTTTCGCGTAGCCTTTATTAAAATACTCTGCAGAAGAAAAGTAAGTGTACAAGATGATAACACTCAAATTCGAACCTTTGGAACACTGAGCAATGCAGCACCGCTCGAAACGCAAAGCACAAAAACAGAAACAATACCATGACTGTGAACAGATCAAGAGACAGGAATAACGGCTATGGAAGCAAATGAAACAACATCAAACAATACATTGCGACTCAGATGCTACTTGTAAATAAGATGAACAAACCATACCATCGGCACCTCTTGATAAAAAATACTACTAAATATTTGCCAAATGAATCTTTTAGTTAATAACGATTTCAGTTCACCTTTTAACTGAAACGTTTGCAACCATCTCTGTTGAAAAAATTGTAACTTCGTCCACCACCCTCAAATATTTTTTTCTCTGATAATGAATTGTCAACTGATGGTCTACTAAATTACTTTCTCTTGAAAACAATCTATTCAGTTGGCGAAGGTTTCAATTTCGTTTTTTTTTTCGAGTTTTAATATAATATAATCTTATATAATAACGTTTGCGTCGATTTTGGATAAGACGCAACTCCCTGTCGAAGCGATTATGTCATGAAAAAATTATTTTCCCAGCCACTTTTTCTATCTGGATGAAGCTATCGAACCCAGATAAACTAGATAATTGAAGTAGATAAACTTCGATCACCCAGATAATTTAAGAAACCTATTTGGGCATCTATAGCATACAAATTTCAAAACTCTGAGCAACAATTTAAAACAAAATCAAATCGCTCGAACTTTATCCGGGGAACTTCATCAGCGACATAAAATGTCAGATTACGACGTAACAGAAAAGCTACGTATTCCCAGGAGAGGATTGTATATGGCCGGGAGGTCCACACCCTCGTCTCTTTTCTTTGCTTGGTGGCGATGGCCGACTCCTTGACGCGGCGCTTGATTGTGTAATTTTCCTCTAGAAAACTTTAACATTGTGTGGATGGATGTTATGACTCGTTGCGTGGCAACGCTCGAAAACGGCAGAAGTTTCTGTTGCGTAACGTGACATTTTACATCGCTGATGAAGTTCGAGCGATTCGAACGAAATATTCAGTTTTGTTTTTAATTGTTGCTCTGAGTTTTAAAATTTGTATACTAAATTGATTTGTTAAAGCAGATAAAAAACCTCTTTCATCAATTTAGGCATCGTCCATACATATCCGGATTTTTCAAATCTAGACATTTTGTTACGAATTTTAACTTTAGTTTAATCTGGTTTAATCCACGCGTATCCGATGAATACGGTCAAAGAATCCGCAACATCTTTTTAAAAAGCTTTCAAGAACGGAAAGTTTTGAAAGCACTAGTTTGCCCAAGTTGTGTGAACACCTGGTGGGCGGATAAAAACGGAACTTTTTGAAAACGATGATGCTACAGTATCACTGGCATCGCATAGCATGAAAATATTTCACTGCCATCTTGCTTTTGCACACATGCAACGTAAGTCAGTTTTTTTCCTTTGCGGTAAAATATTCAAAATTGTTTCTTCAGAATGCAACTTAATCGGTAACTGAGGATTTCTTTCACCTCTTTTACTGTTTTTAATCTTTCTATTAACAATAAAAAATATTCAAACGGGCAAAAGCGAAAGATTTACACGTATGCTTCAAAATTCTTTAATTAGCAATAAACTGCCTCATTTTAGATAACTTGGCCAATATTTTCTAAATTGATTTAAACTCCTTACTTTGATGATTGGTCACCTTGACACAGCTCTAAATCTAAATTTTCCAGACAGTGACAATCGGCTCCTGACAATTATTATTTGCGGACGAGACAACAAAATTTCCATATTCATTAAATTCTTGATCGAAAAAAGATGTATTTTTGGATTTTGGAGTAAAAGGAAACTTTATAAGAAACCTAAGACAAACGGAATTTAATTTGTTTTTCTTCCAACAGTGCATCGCTGACAAAGTGAATCTCACTTTCTGTTTTTTTTTTGGTGGTAGCTTTTTTCTGTAATTTATGATGCAAGTCGGCTTTTTACCCTATTTCAAATTGCTGTTCGCAACAAAGTGTTTCCGCTGAAAGAGCTATTTTCGCAGACCCTTAAGATCATCACTTGAGTCTCGCTAAACACAAAATTAGTTTTTTTCTTTCTTTCGGAACTGTCAGCTTATTATCAAACACGTCACGGCGGGACGAAACAGAATATTCTCACACGGAACTTATTTTTCGAGTCTCTTGCTTAGACCATGCCCACATTTCGCTTCCTATCACCCGAGCTACACATTTTTGTTTTACGAAAATCACGTAAAAAGAAGGTGAGCTAGGAGCGCAACTGTCTCGCGGCATTTTATGATAACTAACACATTTTGCATCAAGAAGGTTTACGGCATTGGTAATAGGTGGAAGCTACGCATTTTGTAATCAGGGCTACATTAAGAAATAATCGTACGAAACAATAATGTTTAAAGCTTATGAGTATTAGGCGTCGCAGATTTAAGAGTAAGCGCGAAAGGTGGCTCGATTGCATATTTTAGGGCCAATACCTCCTCAGTTTGAGTATTAACTACTCGTCATTAAAGAAAATATGGAAAAACTATTACCACAGCTTTATCAGACAGATGAAAATTTGTTATGAGCAGTGTTATGTTGACAACGCACAGCAGCAAAAACAAAATCCCTATCAATTTTACTCGCAGACGTTTACCGCTGCACTTGGAGTTTATTTTTTTTTTCACGATCGCCTGCGAGAGCTTGTTCCCCCAATACCTTCCTTTGCCTGCGTCGCAGACGCTCTAAACCTTCTGACTATACAAATGGTTTAGACGAGTGCGTGGGCCGGCTGCAACGCAGGCTAAACCTTCCTCAATGTTCGTGAGGTTTGAGCAAAATCTCTGACAGCGTTTTTACGAGATATTCTGGGATAAAGTTTTTATGGTTGGTAAAAACTGGACAATCTTGATGTTCCGCCGATATTTAAAGAAAACGAAGCGCTTTTGAAATGCAATTTCACAACATAGTAGTTTCAAACTTTTTAAAACCGCTTGTAAAGAATCATAAGGATAACTTTAGCTCATTTCTACAAAAAGGGATTTGATTGGTATGTACTGATGCGCTCTAAAAGCCATGCAAGAGCAAAACCTCTGCTCGAAGAGTAGCCACCGCTTTATGTTTTTTTTCCAAACGTAGGGCAAACGATTTCACTCTAGAGAACTGTTTTCTTGACATTTCATCAATCATTTCAAATTTGAAAAGACACCAGGCAAAAAGAGCATAATAATAATAATTAAAGAAAACTTATATAGCGCAACTTTCCATTGGACATGATCAAATGTGCTTCATGACCAAACTAAATGAAGTATTTGACAAAAGGCTGGTAAGTATTTTAATACTTAAAACAGGCCTTTTTTTAAACGTCGAACTTCATTCACATATGCCGAATCTAATGCAAATGAGCAAGAACAATTTTCTTCATTAGCATAAAATCTGGCACGTGTGAAGTTCCACGTTTCAAACGGCGGCCTCTTCTCAAGCACTTCAATAAATGATGTTCAAAGCAGAGAATATTCCTCAGTTAAATCAAGTTTCCAACAAAATGTATTTTCTAGCGGATCGGCTAATCTTGAGTTTAACACAGACCGGACGACGCATCCCTCCTGTCCAAACAAGACTAAACGAACTTTAAACCAAACAAGGAACTAAAGATGAACCGAAGCGCGACTTTCCTCACAAAGGAGATAGCCTCAGACTGTGATCTTTCCATTTTCTTGGGAGGAAGTTTAAACAAATGTACTAGAAAGGCATATACGGTACTCTTGTGCCTAATAATCTTAAACATTCTCTCTCTCCCCTTAACAAGCGTTTTAAATGGACTGGTTATAATCACCGTGAAAACTAAACCACGCCTAAAAACCACGAGCAACGTTGCACTCGCGTGTTTAGCGACAACCGACGGTGTGATGGGAGTGATTGGACAGCCCTTTTTCGCCGTACAACTGGCAGTACTGTTACAGGGAGAGAGATCAAGCTCGTACTGCCCGCTATTAGCAGCGTCGGTATACGTTATCAGGGTGTTGGGCGCAGCTACATTTCTTCACCTAACAGCTATTAACATAGAAAGATATATTGCTATAAAGCACTCGCTGAAGTACAAGATCCTAGTCACTAGAGGTCGTTTACTCCGTGGGTCCGCTTTCGTGTGGGTTGTTTCATTCCTCCTAACAGTACCTCTGAGTTTCGTAGACAACGAAATTTACTTGGTTGTCAACAATATGACGGGCTGCTTATGGGTGGCTATCGTTACTTTCTGTCAAATTGTGATACTCCAGGAGACTCGACGTCTTAGAAAGCGAATCGCAGCCCACCAAATCTCACTGGAAGACAGGCAAAAGTTTTTAAAGGACAAAAGAGCTTTTCAGCTCACAACAATGATACTTTTTGCCTTAGTGTTGACATCTTTACCCCTGTTTGTTGTTCGAATACTCATAACAAATTCTATCATACACTCGTTAACTGCGTCATATATTTCTTTAATGTCAGCAGTTTTTGTTGCCATTCTTAACTCGCTCATCAACCCAATTATCTACTGCATTAGAATAAGAGAGTTTCGCGTAGCTCTTATTGAAATACTTAAAAGATACGCAACTGCACAAGTCGTGGAACACTGAACAATGCAACACTGAACAATCCAACACCGCCGCTCGAAACGCGAAGCAAACGAAAAGAAACAACTGTACGAATGTGAACAGATAAAGAGACAGAAATTATAATGTTATCGGCTATGGAGGCAAAGTCAAAATCAATTAACGTAAGGCTGCGGACATAGCCATATGAATCCTCGTTAATTATGAACGATTATAATTCACCTTCATGAACCATTTGATTATTAACCTAAAAGTTAAATAATTTCGTCCATCGCCCTTGAGTATACATTTCTCTGATAATGAATTGTCAACAGATGGTCTACTAAATTGCTTTCTTATGAAAACAATCTATTCAGTTGACGGAGGTTTCAACTTTTGAATAATACATTCACTAGTGGAATCTTGGGGGTACGCTTGCCCTGGCTTGACCGTAAGTACGTAAACTTCGATCAGCAAGATAATTCAAGTAACGAATTTAGTTATCTAGTATACAAATTTCAAAACTCAGAGCAAGAATTTAAAACAAAATCGAATATTTCGTTCGAATCGCTCGAACTTCTTCCAGGGAACTTCATTAGCCATATAAAATGTTTGATTACGACGTAAAAGAAAGGTTGCGTATTCCCAGGAGAGGATTGTATATGGCCGGGAGGTCCACACCTTCGTCCCTTTTCTTTGCTTAATGGCGATGGTCGCCTCCTTGATGCGGCGCTTGATGGTGTAGTTTTCCTCAGATAGAACGTTAACGTTGTGTGAGTTGATGTTATGACCCGTTGCTTGGCAATGCTCGGAAACGGCAGAAGTTTCTGTTACGTAACGTGACATTTTTCATCGCTGATGAAGTTCGAGCGATTTGATCAATTTAGGCATCGTCCATACATATCCGGATTTTTGAATCGAGACATTTTGTTACGAAATTTAACTTTAGTTTAAAAACTTCCATCCACGCGTCTCCGATGAATACGGTCAAAGAATCCGCAACATCTTTTTAAAACGCTTTCCAAAACGGAAAGTTTTGAAAGCGCTGGATTGCCTTAAGTTGTGTGAACACCTGGAAGGCGGATGAAAACGGAACTTTTTGAAAACGATGATGTTACAGTATCACTGACACCGCATCGCATAAGAATGTTTCACTGCCATCTTGCTTTTGTAGACATGTAGCGTAAGTAAGTTTTTTTCCTTTGCGGTAAAATATTCAAGCTTGTTACTTCTGAGTGCAACTTAATCGGTAACTGAGGATTTCTTTCACCTCTTTTTATTACTGTTTTTTATCTTTCTATTAACAATAAAAAATATTCAAACAGGCAAAAGCGAAAGATACACGCGTATGCTTCAAAATTCTTTAATCAGCAATAAACTGCCTCATTTTAGATAAGTTGACCAATTTTCTAAATTGATTTAACTCCTTACTCTGATGATTGCTCACCTTGCCACAGCTCAAAATTTTAATTTTCCAGACAATGATTATTTGCCGACGAGACAAAATTTGCGAATTCATTAAATTCGTAATCGAAAAAAGATGTGTATTTAGATTCTTTCGACTAAAAAGGAAACTTTGTACGAAACCTAAGACAAACGGAATTTTATTTGTTTTTCTTCCAATAGTGGATCGCTGACAAATCTCACTTTCTGTCCTTTTTTTGTGGTAGCTTTTTCCTGTGATTTATGATGCACGTCGAATTTTTACCGTATTTTAAATTGCTGTTCGCAACAAAGTGTTTCCGCTGAAAGAGCTATTTTCGCGGACCCTTAAGATCATCAACTAAGTCTCGATAAACACAGAATTAGTTGTTTTCTTTTTTTGTTTGTCTTGTTTTTTCTTTCGGAACTGTCAGCTTATTATCAAACACGTCACGGCGGCGTGACGAAACAGAATATTTCTCACACGGAACTTTTTTTTCGAGTCTCTTGAATTGCTTAGACCATGCCCACATTTCGTTTTCCATCACCCGAGCTACCCATTTTTGTTTTAGAAAAATGAAAAAGGAAGGTAAGCTAAAGGCGCAACTATTTTGCGCCATTTTATGATAACTAATGCATTTTGTATTAAAAAGGTTTGCGGCATTTGTAATAGATGGAAGCTACGCATTTTGTAATCAGGGCTGCATTATGAAATAATCGTAGGCATGCGCATCGCAGGGGAGCAATAATATTATTTAATTCACGACAAGGAGACCATTAATGCAGTTTTAAAGCTTATGAGTATTAGGCGTCGCCGATTTAAGAGTACAGGCTTAAGATGGCTCGATTGCATTTTTCAGGGCCAACACCTCCTAAGTCTGAGTATTAACTACTCGTCCTTGAAGAAAATACGGAAAAAACCATTACCACAGCTTTATCAGACAAAAATGAAAATTTGTTATGAGTAGTATTATGTAGACATCGGAGTTGTCATAGAAACGAAATGAAGTAACTATCTATTTTACTTGCAGACGTTTTTCTATGCACTTGGGAGTTTTTTTTTTATTTTTATTTTTTTATTTCATTATTTTTTTTTTTCCACGATCGCTCGGGGGAGCTTGTTCCTCCAATACCTGCCTCAATGTTCGTGAGGTTTCAGAAAAATCTATGATAGCGTTTTCGAGAAATTCTGGGATAAAGTTTTTATGGTTAGTAAAAACTGAACAATCTTGATGTTAACACAGTTTACACAGGCGAATTCAGGTAAACAAAAGCGCAAGTTCATCCATCGGCTAGCACTTTCGCGTTAAACATTCTTCAGCACCTAAAGATTTTAGTAATAATTTTAGCATTTTAAAGAAGTCTAAAAGCAAATTTGACTGCCTGGTGTTTGAAATGTTTTTCATTTTATTAATGAAATGAGACCTAGTCTTAATGTACAATCAAACTCACGTCGTGCAGAAGTTTTTAAATGGTTCTTTTCTATCGTTGTTCTTTCTCTGCATGCTTTACTTCATTCTTTTAGATTTTCAAACACTTTTTTTAGTTCTTAACATATTTTTACACCTTACACATATATAATTATGCTAATTCTTTTAACTTTTTACTTTCTTGAAAATGACCGAAGATCGGTCGAAAGGTCGTTTTTTTATCCCTGATTTTAACTGTGTTAGGTTTTAACTGAAAAACCCTTAGTTATAAGAACCGTGATGTTCGGCCGATATTTAAAGAAAACGAAGCGTTTTGAAATGCAATTTCATAACATAAGAGTTTCAATCTTTATAAAAACGCTTGTAAAGGATCATGGGGATAGCTTTAGCCCATTGATAGAAAAAAGGATTTGATAAGCATGTATTGAAGCGCTCTTATTGGCAGTTTTTTAAACATTTTGGTCATTTTCGAGGCTGTTACAAGCAAGCAAGCAAGTATTTGCTTCTAGCTAATTGCAAATTCGGTGATAGCATCCACGTATGCTCAATCATCCCTATTTAACTACAAGTACGAATACGAGCATGAAATAAACTCGTAGTTGTCGTCCCCTCATTTGAGATCTTTAGATTCCACGAGAAGTACTACTAGGATTACGAGATTATTTCAGTATCAAGTAGTGCGTGCGCGTGAACCAGCGTCATTTTGGCCGGGAAAACGCGACAGCCGTAGTCATTCTACTAAGAGTCTTAGCGAGAATGTCATAGTGGCAGAAATAATTTATGGTTATCGAATGCTAGAAGTTTTATCATTTTGGGATAATGGGAGCGGGCTTAACTAGCTTCAATAAAATTAACAGTGCGCGGTGAAAAAATTACAAAGAAGCTTTCCGAGGTATATTTTTTTAAGGATACACGAAGAAAACCTAAAGTTAATTTTCGTCCTCGCAGTCGCCCCTCGAATGCTCGAATCTAAAGCTCTCAATTACTAACGACTCCCTATTGTGTTTTAATTTACACGTACTTCGACGCGTTAAGGTTCTTAAACGGAAAGGATCACTTACCTGTTTTTCTTGACTATGTACTCAAAGGGTCTGAGGAAATCCTTCTGAAAGCGGAAATTGGGCAACTCCCCTTTTTCCAAAAACTTCATAGCCAGTTGACGCAAGGAGTCCACGCAGAAAAACGCAACATCTTCGTTAGGATTACAGCCACACTAAAAGAAATGGATGCTTTTAGGATTTTAAGAAATTCTAATGACAAGTTCCCTGGCCATATGCATCCGTACGATGAAATGTGATACCGTAAATGAGCTAGGAGACGCCTTCTCTCAAATAAACGCCTCCTGCCTGACAAAAGCCCCCTCTACGATGTTAATTTGGTTTTAGACGCCCCTATCTAATACGCGTCCCCTGACTAATAGATCAGATGCGTCCCATAAATAGCGAAATAGAGCAAAGCAAGAGAGGATAAAGGGGACAGAGAACGCATCCCCCATATACGCCCTGTTCCATAGGTAATTCGTCTTGAGTTATTTTTAGAATAGGGATAAAGTTACCTCGCGCGCTGCGTGGATGTTTCGTGGAGGTTTCGCATGACTAAACGCCGTGCAAAACATGTCGGGCGAAACGCAATGAGAGCGTAAAGAGATCGAGAGCATTTCTGAATATTGAAGCGAAATGAGTCGGCGCCCACCTGGGAAAAGGGAATCGCTAGACTCTTTGACAACCCCGTGAAATCAGTTTAACTCGAAGTTGTCGTAACCTCAGTGCTTTAATAAAATGATATATTTCGCCGGTCTATTGAAACCGGTCGTTTGTATAATAAAGCAAATAGGACGCCAAGTGTTATTTTTGTTGAATAATAAAAGACTAATAAAAGAATAAATATCAAACCAGAAATTGCTCTCTTCAAACTGTAAATTATAAATGATCCTGAGAGAATATTCAGTGTGTCAAGGATTTCCCTGCTGTACTTTTAGCTCTATACAAGAGTGGAAGGGCGATTCTTTTTTAATTTCCGCTTCGCTGACACAGCTTTAGCAGAAATATCTCTTTAGTCGTTTTCGTCGATAAAACAAATAGCAATATCGCTCTCCGCGTCTTCTGCCATTTTTTTCTGCGTCAATTCGTGAAGGACGCGTGGCTCTGAGCGTGGGTCATCCACGCGAAACACATTCGCGCTATGTGATTGGCTGTTGTCTAATCCCCCTTGGGATCTATGGTCTTAAAAATAACTAAACACCAATTACCTTTGGAATAGGGTGTGTATGGGGGATGCCTTCTCTCCCCTTTATCCTCTCTTGAGCAAAGTCATTCAATTTATTCAGTTTCATGCTCGATCAATAAGCCGAATTAGCGCACTGCATCTTGATCAATCTCAGGTTCAAATTAAGGACTTTGCCCGGAAGGGGATACTCAACAAATGTTTATACGGGGAGGCTCCGCTCCGAGGTGAGGTCCAATCCCTTACCCTTTTATGTACCAGGCACCCCTTTCATATACCTTCTATTGACAAATGGTACCCCTTTCATATACCTTGTTTAGAACTTTACATCCTTTTAACTGCTGTAAATGCACTGTCTTTTAAATAGGGATCAATCACAAAAGTAGGACGTTTTCTCGACTTTATAAAGCCATAAAATTTATCCGTTAGCCCTTTTGGACTTCTTACTCGTTGAAAAACTGGCGCGCGAAATTCGCAGAGGCTTTCAAAAGCATGCTCCAAGTTCTTATGATTTGAGCAATCACAAGTACTTAAGACAATTCAATGTGCCAATCAAACCTCAAAACAAATACAACGTAACAGGTATAAAGCGCGGCTGAGAAAGCGATGTGAGATGATTTAGACAATCAATTCCGTTCAAAGCAGCACTGCAAAATCAGCGTCACCCGGAGTGAAATAACCTTGGGCATTTCAGATTCGGTTACAGAACGCTGCCGTACCTTATTAAAGTGATCGCCGAGCACGGCCCATATTCTGGACCACTCAAGCCTGATACGGTTCATGTTATAGTAAGATATCTCAACGATTTTCTGTAAACTGAACATTCTGGGATGGGTTGGGTTGGCGAGTTCATCTGAGGAGATTGCACCCAGTGCTTGTACAAAGTCCACTAGACAGACAAAAGGAAACGGGAATTAGTCCATGAATGATTGCAACACCGATGCAAATGTTACTATTTTCACTTTACAATCAGGAGAACCAGCTTTCATTATATTTTAGGGAGTTAATTTCAATCCAGTGGCTTTTCGTACAGGACCCGTACACGGACTTGTATTTGCTATTCATACGGGATTCTGACTAAATTGCTTAGGATAAAGCACTGAAAGTAGTGATTAGGACTAAGCACTGACTCGAAAAGGTTAGCTTCTATTTAGGGTTAGGAGTGTTGCTATATAAATTGGAACCAAAGACTTTCTTTCGTCAAAGTCGAATACTGTAACTTTACACTTAAAAAAATAAAAAGTTCCATCGATTGCAAGTATCACAGGGCCAATTCGCCATTTTCACCTAGACCATAATGCAACTTGTTTACCCCAAACAATTTGCATAACCATCGTCTTCGATTTCCCTTGGGACGACTGCAGTACCCAGGAGAAACTGGAAATAATGGTTATGCAAATTTTCTTTTTAGGGGGGATAAACAAGGTGCATTATGGTCTTGAAAAAGTGGTGATCCAAGAAAGTGGTAGGAAAATAACGGCAACAACAACAATAACAATAATATCAATACTAGTAAATGATATTATGATAATCAGTCATTATTTAAGCGAAAGGGGAAGCTGTTTTAGGGCGTTCTCATGAATGCGCTGTCAGAAAAAATTATGACTTCCTCCATACCTGTGCAGCAGTTTGATCTTATATAAGCTACCTACTTACCTATAGCATCTCCGTCAAGTTTTGTGGATCCCGTGAAAATTCTAAGCGAAATGGAATAAAAGGAAAGCAATTAATAGGTGGTTTCAAACTCCAAATACCCTGGGGGAGATATAAAACAAACCAACTACGCGACTGACAAGCGACGCGAACGAATTCAAAAGCCCTAAAAGCCATGCAAGAAAGAAACCTCTGCTCGCAGGGTAAACTTTCAACGGAAAAATTTCAAGAAAAATTGCTTTAAAGCTCCTACCTGTCCACTGCGACCACAACACTTTGAGAACTTGTCTCTCCAACAGTTTCTTGAATGTAAGCTATTTTCTTCGGATCTGACGAAATATGGAAACGAAAAAACACAAATGGTCACTACAGCATGCGCACCTTGATGGCAGAAATTTGGGTAAATTATAGATTTCTTACCATTCACCAATTCATGGGCTTGAGAGGGAGCAAGGCCAGTGGTACCCATAGCCACAGGAGTATTAGCACCTTGCCCCACCCCTCCTGTGGGTCCCATACTTTTTACACCTGTTCCAATCAGCTGAGCTAGTTCGAGCTGAGATATACATCTCAGTATCTACAAAAGAAAGATAAACAACGCACGTCAAGATCAAGTGATATAACACAAACATGGAGCGCAAAAGAAATAGATCGGTAAGATATAAGCAAAGCACGCTCTACCCTTAGTGTAGAAGGCTTTATTTTTGGCGGAAATGATTTGGTCTCATAGAGATAGCTTGCAAAATCCCCGCAGGAACGACCATTTTCGTCTACTTGGATAAATTACCAAACTGACGATAAACCTTTTTTACATATTGAAAGACTTGGAGGTTACTTTACTTCTCCAAATTTCCTTTAGATAAACTTGGGCGTAGAGGTGTTTATTTGATTATCGCTTCCTATTCAATCCCGTTATACAATCAAGACCTCATTTTTGCTTATAGTTTAAGTACCTCATGCCAAGCCCGTCCAAGGTAGTTCCCGTCTGTCTGTGCGACAGTGATTAGAGTCTTGATGGTGTCAATGTTCTTGGTTTTAATTTCGTGCAGTCCTGCTGTTGCTGTCAGGAGTGTAAAGCGTGACAGGGCCTGTACAAAACTGTCACGCTCCAACTGAAATGTACAATGCAAACACACAAAAATAGTTTTTCATGTAACGAAAAGCGATCTACCTGCCTTGTAAGGCATGTAATTGTATTTCCAACGCTTTAGCGTTTTTGTGTAAATATACTCAAAAACGAATGGACGAAGCCTGAGCGATGATTCGACTGAAACAAGGTGACAGCTCGTGTTGATTCATAGTCTCCTTGCCAGCAGAGACAAAATTTCATTCTGGTTGCCAACCACTATGTCTTATTCTTTTAATTTTTGACAGTGACACCAACTTTTCATCCAGTATGTAAACGAAGGTTTAATTGTAAGAAAGAAAAAAAAGGACACTTTGTATTACGCCGAATCATACAGGAAATGTAAACTGCAACCACTGCACCCAAAATCATGGATAAAACTCTTGAGATAAAATTTGCATTTCTGGGGCTTTTTTCAAATCACACATGCCCAACCCCTTCCCTCACCCCCACAAACACGTGTATCCAGAAGGTTCCCCCACTTTCATCATTGCAAAGGGTAGGGAGAGAAGGAGAGATGCCACGGATATTTTCGACACTTTCGGCCCCCAGAAACCACACATAATTACGGATATTGCATCACAGTCCCAAGGACATTTGCCCAGAAAATGTCGATTGCAGACTTGACATTACCTGCATTCCAAATATGCATCCAATTCTGATTGCACAACGAATGCCGTCCAAACATAGCGAAGCCACTTGCTGGTCATCCGAATGCTGCAGATTTACACTAAATGCTGCGAGGAACGGACTCCAGGTCACCTGTAAAAACATAAACACAAAATAAAGGTCAATGAAAAGGGCAATATTATATCTCGTTGCAGCCTTCACTATCGGTGAGATCGATAAATTTAAGTAAGGCCAGAGGTAAGCATCGAACACCACATGTGGCAAACAACACATCGGTATAACGAATGACATTCTTATAAAGCAATTTATGGCACAACACCCTGATGTATTGTTATAACGAACGATTTTTCCAGACTCTTGACAGTTTGATATACCAAGATTGCACTGCAGAATAAATACTCACAAAAAGGGGTAAATACCTTGAACATGGGTCTAATATGTTCCACATGAGTAGCAGAAGTGAACGTGGTCTGTATCTGACTCACTCCCTCTATCAGGGTCTTGGCCGTCTGCGCCATTTGCTCCATTTCTTGATAATACAAAAGTCGCCTCTGTTTTTCATTCTGAAGATCTGGAACAAAGAAATAAATAAGTTAATATCATTATTGACTGCCTCAAATCCCTCGGCTTATTCGTTTAAACCAGCTAGCGTTGACCAAATTTTTGTAGACGTTAGCGAATATTCGGTAACATGACGTCAATAGTACAGGCTATTGCCAGAAAAATGGACGGCACTCGAGAAGCCCTGGGTACGTGGTTGGGTTAGCTCAGTGGTTTACGTAGAGCTGAAGAAAATAGCGTTAAACTTTGTGAAGAAGAAACAGCCAAACCTCTGCCTTAAAAACATAGTAAAAACAGCAAAACTACAACTCAGTGGATGAAAACTGCTGTTTGAAGAATATCTGCTTCGCTAAACATCCTTTATATCTCGAATTTACCGAGGAACAGAAAAAGTGACGACGAGAACTTAACATCGATCGAGGCAAGCATGTTAACGTATAAATTATTTTGAATGAATAATAAAACAATTATTGGGTTCGCCTATCCTATGCAGATCTCGGATGCAGCTGAACATGCCCAGGCATTGTGAGAAGCTTGTTTACTTTTTAACCAAGGCATAGTTAGTAGAGGAGACTGGTTATGAAAACAAGCAAACATCAAAGTGGAAAACAACGGTGCTGTAGTTTATGTTGGAATCTCCCTGACCGTGCGCAATCCTTTGTTTATGGAGAAAGGTTTGAACCCAGGAGTCATTTCAAAAGTAGGTTGAGTTTGATCGTCCGGGTGAACGTAGTCCTGAATAGGACTATTGTTGTTGACAGTGACTGACGTTTCGACAAACTGTGCGGTAGTCATCTTCAGAGTCAAAGTGAGTTGTATCACGTCAGTTGATGGTATTAAACTCTGGTTATTGATCTGATTGGTCAATTATGTCGCGATGTTATGGGTCGTCTGTCAGTTAAGCCGTGATATTATTGGCTATGAAGACTCGTAATCAGTAAATGGTGCGTTTCGATCCGTCTATTGTTAGTCAAATTGTCAGTTCTCCAGTCGTTCTCTCGTAGTTAGTTTTGCTTGATCTCGTCAATAAGTCGTTTGTACGGCGCTGGTAACTGTTGGCTACGATTCAGTGGCGTTTGTTCTAAGTTAGTAAACCAGCTTTCTAAAGTAAGACGTTGATAGTAGTCTGTAGAATGCGTTATACATGTCGCAGAGTCCCAATCAATTTTATGTTTCGTCTGTAAATGGTGCTCAGCAATGTGATTGTTGACGTCACCATTCCTCGTCGCTCGTTTGTGTTCGGTCAGTCGCGTGCTTAGGTTTCTGCCGGTTTCACCAATGTAAGAAGCCTGGCAGTCGCAACATTTGATCTTGTATACTGCTCCCTGTCTGTCCTCCGGTATGTCTTTGTCCTTGACATTTGTTTATTGTTCACAAATTGTGACTGAATAAATCAATGCGATGGTAAGAAGTTCAAAATGATAGGAATGCTATTGAACGTTATGTATGGTCAGGTCCAAAAGAGCTAACAAAAAAATATAAAAAAGGAATCTAATGGGTTTCATAATCATTCCACTTTAATAACTTTGACCAAGGCAACTAGAACATTGAGACTTTGAAATGGCTTCCCAAAAAATGAACCCTAACATCGAGTTACTGAAAAATGGATGAGCAGAAATACGAAAAAACCAATGGGACAGGGTAACCAAGAATTCCTAACAGTAAAGTCAGTTGAACAGTGGTAAAGCACTGTATATGCGTCATTGACCAAGAGTGATGTCAAGATGACTGGATATTGGCTAAGTTCCTCGACTTCAATAAAAAACGCAAAACCGAACGATGCCAAAATCCAGCCATCTTGACCGAATAAGCTTGGTCAATAAAGAATTTATTGTATGGCCAAAACGAGAACTTTTTCTTGAGGGACCAAAGCGAGAAATCCTTGCACGCTGGGGTAGCCAATCAGAACGCAGGATTAGTTTCATCTTGCCCGCTGGCGGATTCAGTGTAAGAAAGGTTACTGGAAGGCAACACGTATTTTAGCCCAAGATCCGGTCACTTTAGGACAACCAAGGGTTCAAAATTCCGGATATTTAGTCATAAACATGAAAACCATCTGCAATAACAGTCGTGAAGTAATAAAAAACAACAACGACGAAACGTTCAGCTTATATATTTTGGTATGAGGAAGCTTCTGCTACTTACATATAGTGCTGTATCTATTGGTGTTTTTTGGAGCACTTCTCATTTTGATCTCATTCTGTGAAATCTCATCATAAATAGACTCAAGATACTCTTGTGGTAAATCTTTGCTGTCGTTGATTCCTTTGTTCATTGTGATGTATTGTTCCTTTGTTATCTTTCTTTTTACCTGCAAAGCAACAAAAAGTTTTCACCGTGGTTTCCTGTCCCTCGACACTGTATTCACTGAAATATATATTTTTGCCGTATGCACTCAACAAATTATTATGCTAACCAATGAGAGTACACGTACAAGGACAAAACAGAATACAGTCAAGCCTGTATTAAGAGGTCACCCTTGAGGAATGGCCAAATGACCGTTTAAGATAAAAGGCTAACAATTTAATACAGAGGTTTGACAACCTGACTTTATCAACATAAAGAAGATGGTGACGAAGCAAAATATCGATAAAACAAAAATTGACCTCAACGTATTTCTAACTCTTCTTTTGCCAAAAAAAGGGAGTAAAAGACCACTGAACGCCATGTACATGCAGTGTATCAGGGCTTTCAATAAGTACCGACGACCGACGAAACGCGTCGGCTACTTTGCTCAGAGAAGTCGGTTACCTTTTTCGCGTAAGAAGAAGCAATTATGACGTTTTAACATTATCGTAAACAAAAAATATATCTTAGTTAACATCTCAATGAAAACGTAATTATGATGTGTTTTTTAATTCATAAAGAAACACTGGATTTATGGTACGCATTAGTAATGTCAATATCGTATTTCAGTCAATTTCCCACACCTTTTTACATAGATTTACCCAGAATTTGTTCACTAGCAAATGTACGTAATTGAATTACCGTCATTTGTGTTAATTGCTTGAAGGAGTTGATTGTGTGGCTGATAAACCGAAACTTGAATAAAACAGTTTAGGGCTTAGAAATTTTAAAATTTTGGGGGAGACAATGGCCCTTGGTTGATACGGTCAGTTACTCTAATCAAACCTGCTGGCTACTTCAATTTTTATTGAGAGCTCTGTGTATCTATTGAACTTGTAACATATACCTTGACAAGGTGATATTTTAATAGAAGTGAAGACTTATGTAACTTATGTAACATGTAACTTATGCACATGATCAGGGGCACAGTTGATGAATAACGAACGGATGCTAATATTTTATTGCCATTGGACTGTATCCAGTACCTCATATTTTTTCAACACTAAGTAACAGTAGTTACCTGGTTATTATGTAGATCAGTTGTCAACAAGATAATGGAGAATGCTAAAACGTAGGCTGCATCAGCACTTGCAAACACTTCATTACTGAAACAGGGAAGTAAATATCACATTAGCATATTATGATACACCTACAAACCACATTTGTCTGCCTTAACTCTTCGGGGGCCCGATTCTTGAAAGTCCCAGTAACTTTTCGGGTCCGAAATCAACTATTCAAATCGAAATATAAAGAGTAAGAGCGCGGATCCTGGCTAGCAAACTACTCCATTTTGTTTCATTAACTGATGGTTTTATCATGTTAGATGTAAAACTATTGAAACCTCGATCTTTAATGTCAACGGCAACAGCTTAACGGGCCCGTTAATTATCGGGACTTTCGAGAAACAGGCCCCAGGTCCCAAGAATGACCGACTACAGTTTTCTTCTAACAGTATCAGTGCATAATCAAAAGAAAAGGTTACGAGATTTGATAAAATGATCACCAAAGGGAAAGTGCTCCAATTTTTTTATTAAATTCTCTCAACTACTTCTTTAAAGAAATGAATGGCAATCAGTCTGGAGAATTGCTAACCCGTGAGAAATCACTGCTGTTTATGTTTTAAACATTACTAAAAGATCAGGGCTTCGTTACCCTGGGTTACTCTAGGTTAGCACAAAAACTGAATATAAATTATGAAGCAATTTCTTTAAATTATTTTTGCCCCAAATTTTCTTTTTGGATGCTCTGAAATATCTAGTTAAAATTGACAGAATGAGGAAAATACTTTTGGATTAAATAAACAGGAAACTAGAGTGAAAGTTATCACTAGGTTAGTGACAATTGTCGCTCGAACAACTGGGCCCACAGCATTTACTCTACGTGAAACAAAGTTAATACCAAATTCTAGTCAAATATATGGAATGAAGCAATTGGTACACAAGCGTTATGGACGAAGCGTGAGGTCAAATGGGCTGGATCATAGCTAAAATCTTTTTTGCGCAAAAAAGAACAAGGCAATTATTCAGCCATCTTGGCCGAACAAGCTTGATCAATACAGGAACTTTCTTGCAGGATCAATCCAGGAAATACCACGTGGGCAAGCTGAGCCTATCTTGCCTGCTCGGGTAGCCAATCAGAATGCAGGAATCGCTGCATCTTGTGCACTTGCGGATCCAGCCATACAATGATTTCAAGTATACACTTTTCCATTGTCAGAGAAGTTTAAGGCTGCAACCAATCAGGTTAACTAGTATTGCAACGCTGTTCTTAACATTAAACAATAAGAAGCATAGGTGTCAATGTTATTTAGTTATGTATGACGTTACCTTGGATTAGTTTCTAGATATCTACTGGCAAACTTCTCCATGAGACGATCAATTTTCTGAGCTTCTCCAGGGAGACGGAAGTTGTTGAGAAACAGCCGTAAGGCTGTCACAAAGTCCATGTCTGTGAAGTTGAACTTGTCAATGTAGCTATACATCACTTCCCTGCTGAAACTAAACAAAAAACAAAGACACAATCATCAGGAAAGAAGTTGTGATCATCTGCACATGCTTTACAATCTACAATTAAAAAGGATTCTTATTTTTTTCTAAAAACAATATCTTTGAAATATTTCCTGAAATACATGTAATAAGACCATAGGTGTTTACTACAAAGACCAAAAGAAAGAACTAGACAGCATTCCTTCAAAATAACTCTATGAACGAGATAAAAATTTTTCCTTTTGACAGAAAGTTATTACAACAACCACTACATCATAGTAAAACGAAGAAAACGCTTACAGATCGTTGTCTCCGATCAGTTCTCCAATTTGATTCTGAAATAAAAAAGTAAGTTCAAAATTCAGTCATAGCAGTGAGACTCTTCAAAATGAATAACACAAACAACTAGAACCAATCAAAATACCTTGTCAAGCCTTTCATCTGTATGAAGAAGTTCTGCAACGTCTTCAGGTTCAGGACCTAAGAGGCCATTTTCTTGAAGGTATTTAACTCCTTTCTTTGGACTTTTGTTAAATCTACACACAAAACGATAGTTACCAGTAAGTATCTTCTTATACATTGACACTGTCAAATGGAGATGGGGAGTAATTTTGATGCGACAAAATTGTTAAAAACCAATCTGTATCAGACAAAGAAAAAGAGAAGAGGAAACAGAAAAGGAAAGCAGGGAAACCAGTTTCAAATAAACACAAAAGATATCACTATTAGTTTCATGGAGTGTCATCAAAGGTGTACGGAACTACAGTATCTTGGAGTAAGTACCCTATGCTTTGAAGTCTAAATTTCTGAATACAGCAATTGCATAGGTAAACTTGTCATAACTAGCTGTAGTTAGCGTATTACTTTTCAATTCCTTGTTCCATGAGTCCTTTCATCTCTTTTAGCGATTCAAATTGTTTAGGATTATCAGGTGCAACAGTTGAAGCCGACGAATTTAGTGATCCTTGGCTGCCACCAAATGATTTGAGATCTGATCCAAGGCTGAGTCGATCTCCAGGTAAACTTGTCTTCTCTCCTATTTCTTCTGCGTCTGCTTCAGTAAGACTTGATTTTCTCCTCAAACCAGGTGTATCTATGCCAAGTAAGTTAAAAAATCATAACATGAAACGTGACCATAATATTGCATTAGGATTAATTTCACAGAGAGCAGAGCTTACTTAAAGCAAAAAAAAAACACAAAATCGTGCAAGACTACACAAAAGGGCACAGCAAAGGTTGTATGCAGTGTACTACCATTTGCGTTAATGAATGCACCCACAATGTTTACAACCCCCACTGTACTGTAGAGACGGGTTTAACCATTGAGACTACAAATTAAATCTTTGAGATAATATTTCATAATTTGCTATGAAATGCCGCCTGGTTAGCTCAGTTGGGAGAGCGCTGGTCTGCCAAGCAGGAAGTCACGGGTTCAAATCCCGGCCAGACCAGCACTCAGGGTCTTTTTATAACTGAGAAGAAAGTGCTGCCTTTGTAATGACATCTGCAAATGGTTAGACTTTCTAGTCTTCTCGGATAAGGATGGGTAGGGATGGCACCTTGCATGGGACCTATGAGTCCCATTCGTGCCCACTCCCTCTGGACAGGCCTGTGTCCAGAAAAGCTGGTAAAATTATAATATGGAACAAGTAAGTTATTACGACTTAGTCCAACACAACCTCTTTAACTGGATTTTATTTGGTTGTTGAATACCATAAAAGATTATATGACACACAGCCACGTTTTTATATGTCGGTGGAGAATGACTATAAGTAAATGTACCCTACAGGCTGAAGCCAGTTACATGTAAGTCCATCAAAGAAAAGAGAAGATTAAAAAACATACCTGAGTTGTTAGCCACATAAGAACTAGGGTTGAGATAAAGTTCTCTGCTCCACTCCACCATACATTTTAGTATTGAAACCAAACATTCAAGACCTTTGAGCCGCATACTTTTCTCTTGCACCTAAAATAAAAACAACACACAATGAGTTATGGTGAATGAGCGCCTGCAAAGACTCCAAGACCCTTATTTATTATTTTATTTACTCTATTTTCTCTATTAAAGGTGCGGCTCCAAATAAACACCAGGTTTGAAAGAGGAGGATGTAAGTAGGTGTCACACACACTCAATTGTGACATAAACATAAGGTGTAAGAAGAGGATATACCTATGTCAAGAGGGCTTAAACCCCTTTCTTTTTTAATTGAGACAGTATGGAAAGCTAAGAAAACCACCTTGATCAACTTACTGGAGTGGCAGAGAGGACTATGGCTTGCCTCCCTTGAGCTATCTTCGCCAAGTCGCTAGTTAAACGTTCAAAGATGTTTGACAGGGACAGATCACAGTCATAGTTGAGGTAGATGTCCACCACACATTGGGCATCTAAAGTGAAACAAAGGATCATGTCACTGTTCTGCATGTTATAGGTACTCTAGTCTCTTAATTAGGTAAGGTAAAAGGTAAAGGCGCACACAAGCCAAAGGCCCAAACGGCCAGAGCTTAACTCAGTTTCCGTAGCATGAAACAAGCTAAGGAGTATTGCTACTCCCCCCTGGACAGGATGCTAGTCCATCGCAGGGTTACCCCCCAACAGTATGTCACCAGTACCCATTTATACACCTGGGTGAAGAGAGACAAAGTGGAGTAAAGTTCCTTGTCTAAGGTAAAAACGTGATGGGCGGGGCTTGAACCCCGCCCTCCAGGTCCAGAGTTCAAGGTGTTAACCACTCGGCCACACATGCCTTCAATCTTTATGATGAGTACTGGTTGAAATGTTGATTTTAGAAGTATGCAGGAAGCACATTATTTTAGGCTACAAGCATGGACATCTTGGCATCTTGCAGCCATTTTGAGATTTTGCACTCTCCAATCTCCTAATCCCCTGATATATCTTATTCTTGAGAGATCCTTGTAGAGGTAAAGCACCAAGGAAGAAATTAAGTGGGCAGAACAGGGGAATGGGGAACAAAATCTGTGATATTTCAATTTGAAACTTGAAAATTTGTCCTTGATCGAAACATGCCACAAGTGTTCCATTAGACATTAAACAGCCCCTTTTAAGTAAGGCCATTAGAGGATCAGTAGGACTTGAAAACAAGCTGAGAGGAGAACTGGAGAAAGGCAAGAAAAGTCTTTACTTCCCCTGTTGGGAACTCAGACACTTTCTTTCCCAGTATTTATGCTAATTTAACCTTGGTCAGTAACATTTGCCAGGCAGTGCTTATATCCTTATCCTTGGCCCCCAACAGACTCAACAACCTAAGAAAGTATGTTTCGAATTTCCTTTCATCTTGATTGGCAACACGACAATGGCATGTTTAACAGGCCAATCATGGTGTATACTAAAATCCTGACACACAGCTGTGGCCCAGAACGAGGATTCCAGCACTTTTTCGCAGATGGACTTAACCAGAGTTTAGTTTCATCTGGGACACAGGCTATGCTGAAGGCCACATCTTTAGAAATCAAGTATAGCACAAAATTTATGACACATCACCACATTACACTGTATGTGCACACCTGAGCATATTCTTGTTAGTGCCTGCATAACCATCCACTTGTGCTGAAATGAACTGGTTGATGTCTCTAGGATGTTAAGAAAGATCTCCTTGAAAAACACCTGCAAAACAGAAAGAAACACATAGATATACCATGTTGAGGAGAGCTGAATGACAGATGGAGCCATATATTACTTATAATTTGCTGATTTGCATAAATTTCCATAAAGAAATAATTTCTGACTCCTACATGTAGGCCTGACTGACAAACTGAAACAGTGATAAAACTAAAGAAAGACAAATGGAAAGGCCTGGGCACGAACCTCTATCTGCATTTTGAGATGTGTTTTGAACGACGACAGCAGTGTTAGGAAGATTGCCAATGACAGTTCAAAAACAGCAGGAACAGAGGAAACACCATTCTTGGACAATGCTACACAAAGGTATTGTTTAATGGCTGTCACAAACATCTCATGTGTACAAAACACTGGTCCTGCATTCTGAAGACAGGACAGCAACAGTTCCAAGGACAGAATCTTGGATCGCAACTCATGAGACCTGCAACAGGAACAGTTACAGACAATTCATTATAATAACAGTAAAATCACTACAGGCTACAACATCACATTTCTTACTTTACAAACAGAGGAAAGAATTTTTAAAAACAAACAGTGTTCCTTATTTATGGAAGTAGCCTGCAAAATTGGAGAATTAGTTTTCCCCACTGGGCACATCCCCGGATATCAGATAGGAGAATAGCCTGAAGATGACCTGTGGACCACAGCAGGGTGGGGTAGCAGGGTTTGAAAAAAACATGAATTCCAGTTTGTCCTTTGGGCAAGCAGCTCTCTTATTTTGCTTGCCCAAGGCCACTTCTTGCTCATCTTAGTAAATAATTTTGTTAGGGGATGACTTGCCCAGACCCTTGCCCATTGGGTAAGTGAGCTTTAAAAGTTACTTGCCCAGCAAGAAAATCTACTTGTCCTGGACTACTGAAGAGGACTTTTTTTGAGCCCTGGGAGGGAGTGTAAAGACTGTATGCGATAGACTTTCTAAAAGTCCTTTATCTTTGTCCTGGTTGGTTATACCATTTTAAGGGACTTTTCCTGTTTGTCAAGACAATTCACCAATAGGAGAGCGAGTAATATTTGACATAATTCTCAACACAGCACATGTCAATCATTTTTCCCATGTGAATTTATAATATGATACAAATCCATTCAGGTGAAACAAGCCCTTGCTGCACGACCTCATTGAAGCTCGCTTCGCTCGATTTCAAGAACTTATGAGAGTGGTTGACTTGTAGCAAGTCTATGTATGAGGGTAGTTGACTTTCATGCTTTTACAGCTGTAGCTGATGCCTGACATTTCTTTGAGAGAATCATAATTCAATACTGTAAACACTTCTGACTTTTGTTACATCCAGCATGCGGAGAAATTTCATTCCTGGAATCATTATTTTCAGAGTAACCTAAATAAATAAAAATGCTACAGCCGTGATATGTCTCTCTACTGTATGAACACTGAACTTACTTAGGATCTAGGGGTGCATCAGAGAGGGGCTTCATTGAAAGCTTACACAGGGACCTGAACACAAGAAATGCATCTTTCTGAGTGACATGAGAGAACTTGGCAGCCCCTGATGCTTGGCTTCAGAGAGGACTATGGCTTGCCTCCCTTGAGCTATCTTCGCCAAGTCGCTAGTTAAACGTTCAAAGATGTTTGACAGGGACAGATCACAGTCATAGTTGAGGTAGATGTCCACCACACATTGGGCATCTAAAGTGAAACAAAGGATCATGTCACTGTTCTGCATGTTATAGGTACTCTAGTCTCTTAATTAGGTAAGGTAAAAGGTAAAGGCGCACACAAGCCAAAGGCCCAAACGGCCAGAGCTTAACTCAGTTTCCGTAGCATGAAACAAGCTAAGGAGTATTGCTACTCCCCCCTGGACAGGATGCTAGTCCATCGCAGGGTTACCCCCCAACAGTATGTCACCAGTACCCATTTATACACCTGGGTGAAGAGAGACAAAGTGGAGTAAAGTTCCTTGTCTAAGGTAAAAACGTGATGGGCGGGGCTTGAACCCCGCCCTCCAGGTCCAGAGTTCAAGGTGTTAACCACTCGGCCACACATGCCTTCAATCTTTATGATGAGTACTGGTTGAAATGTTGATTTTAGAAGTATGCAGGAAGCACATTATTTTAGGCTACAAGCATGGACATCTTGGCATCTTGCAGCCATTTTGAGATTTTGCACTCTCCAATCTCCTAATCCCCTGATATATCTTATTCTTGAGAGATCCTTGTAGAGGTAAAGCACCAAGGAAGAAATTAAGTGGGCAGAACAGGGGAATGGGGAACAAAATCTGTGATATTTCAATTTGAAACTTGAAAATTTGTCCTTGATCGAAACATGCCACAAGTGTTCCATTAGACATTAAACAGCCCCTTTTAAGTAAGGCCATTAGAGGATCAGTAGGACTTGAAAACAAGCTGAGAGGAGAACTGGAGAAAGGCAAGAAAAGTCTTTACTTCCCCTGTTGGGAACTCAGACACTTTCTTTCCCAGTATTTATGCTAATTTAACCTTGGTCAGTAACATTTGCCAGGCAGTGCTTATATCCTTATCCTTGGCCCCCAACAGACTCAACAACCTAAGAAAGTATGTTTCGAATTTCCTTTCATCTTGATTGGCAACACGACAATGGCATGTTTAACAGGCCAATCATGGTGTATACTAAAATCCTGACACACAGCTGTGGCCCAGAACGAGGATTCCAGCACTTTTTCGCAGATGGACTTAACCAGAGTTTAGTTTCATCTGGGACACAGGCTATGCTGAAGGCCACATCTTTAGAAATCAAGTATAGCACAAAATTTATGACACATCACCACATTACACTGTATGTGCACACCTGAGCATATTCTTGTTAGTGCCTGCATAACCATCCACTTGTGCTGAAATGAACTGGTTGATGTCTCTAGGATGTTAAGAAAGATCTCCTTGAAAAACACCTGCAAAACAGAAAGAAACACATAGATATACCATGTTGAGGAGAGCTGAATGACAGATGGAGCCATATATTACTTATAATTTGCTGATTTGCATAAATTTCCATAAAGAAATAATTTCTGACTCCTACATGTAGGCCTGACTGACAAACTGAAACAGTGATAAAACTAAAGAAAGACAAATGGAAAGGCCTGGGCACGAACCTCTATCTGCATTTTGAGATGTGTTTTGAACGACGACAGCAGTGTTAGGAAGATTGCCAATGACAGTTCAAAAACAGCAGGAACAGAGGAAACACCATTCTTGGACAATGCTACACAAAGGTATTGTTTAATGGCTGTCACAAACATCTCATGTGTACAAAACACTGGTCCTGCATTCTGAAGACAGGACAGCAACAGTTCCAAGGACAGAATCTTGGATCGCAACTCATGAGACCTGCAACAGGAACAGTTACAGACAATTCATTATAATAACATCAGAGAGGACTATGGCTTGCCTCCCTTGAGCTATCTTCGCCAAGTCGCTAGTTAAACGTTCAAAGATGTTTGACAGGGACAGATCACAGTCATAGTTGAGGTAGATGTCCACCACACATTGGGCATCTAAAAAGAAAAAAGGATCATGTCACTGTTCTGCATGTTATAGGTACGCTAGTCTCTTAATTATGTAAGGTAAAAGGTAAAGGCGCACACAAGCCAAAGGCCCAAACGGCCAGAGCTTAACCCGGTTTCCGTAGCATGAAACAAGCTAAGGAGTATTGCTACTCCCCCCTGGACAGGATGCTAGTCCATCGCAGGGTTACCCCCCAGCAGTATGTCACCAGTACCCATTTATACACCTGGGTGAAGAAAGACAAAGTGGAGTAAAGTTCCTTGTCTAAGGTAAAAGTGTGACGGACGAGGCTTGAACCCTGGTCCTCCAGGTCCAGAGTTCAAGGTGTTAACCACTTGGCCACACACGCCTCCAATGTTTATGATGTGTACTAGTTGAAATGTTGATTTTAAAAGTATGCAGGAAGCACATTATTTTAGGCTACAAGCATGGACATCTTGGCATCTTGAAGCCATTTTGAGATTTTGCACTCTCCAATCTCCTCATCCCCTGATATATCTTATTCTTGAGTGATCCTTGTAGAGGTAAAAGCACCAACTAAGAAATTAAGTGGGCAGAACAGCGAAATGGGGAGTAAAATCTGTGATATTTCAATTTGAAAAAGTGCCTGAACTTTTTTGTCCTTGATTGAAACATGCCAGAAGTCTTCCATGAGACATTGAACAGCCCCTTTTCAGTAAGGCCATTACAGGCTCAGTAGCACTTGAAAACAAGCCGAGAGGAGAACTGGAGAAAGGCAAGAAAAGTCTTTACTTCCCCTGTTGGGAACTCAGACACTTTCTTTCCCAGTACTTATGCTAATTTAACCTTGGTCAGTAACATTTGCCAGGCAGCGCCGATATCCTTGTCCTTGGCCCCAAACGGACTCAACAACCTAACAAAGTACCTTTTGAATTTCCTTTCATCTTGATTAGCAACACGACAATGGCATTTTTAACAGGCCAATCATGACGGGTACTCATATCCTGGTACACAGCTGTGGCCCATAACAAGGATTCCAGCACTGTTTCGCAGATGGACTTAACCAAGGTTTAGTTTTATCTGGGACACAGGTTATGCTGAAGGCTACATCTTTAGAAATCAAGTATAGCACAAAATTTATAACACGTCACCAAATTACACTGTATGTGCACACCTGAGCATATTCTTGTTAATGCCTGCATAACCATCCACTTGTGCTGAAATGAACTGGTTGATGTCTCCAGGATGTTAAGAAAGATCTCCTTGAAAAACACCTGCAAAACAGAAAGAAACACATAAAATACACCATGGCTGAGGAGAGCTGACTGACTGATGGAGTGATATATTAATTATAATTCGCTGACTTGCATAATTTTCCATAAAGAATTAACTTCTGACTCCTAGGACTGACTGACAAACTGCATCAGTGATAAAACTAAAGAAAAACAAACAGGAATGCCTGGGTACGAACCTCTATCTGCATTTTGAGATGTGTTTTGAACGACGACAGCAGTGTTAGAAAGATTGCTAATGACAGTTCAAAAACAGCAGGAACAGAGGAAACACCATTCTTGGACAATGCTACACAAAGGTATTGTTTAATGGCTGTTACAAACATCTCATGTGTACAAAACACTGGTCCTGCATTCTGAAGACAGGACAGCAACAGTTCCAAGGACAGAATCTTGGATCGCAACTCATGAGACCTGCAACAGGAACAGTTACATACAACTGGTTATAATAACAGTAAAATCACTACAGGCTACAACATCACATTTCTTACTTTGCAAACAGAGCAAAGAAATTTTAAAAACAAACAGCATTCCTTATTTATGGAAGTAGCCTGCAAAATTGGAGAATTAGATTTTCCCACTCGGCACATCCCCGGATATCAGATAGGAGAATAGCCTGAAGATGACCTGTGGACCACAGCAGGGTGGGGTAGCAGGGTTTGAAAAAACGTGAATTCCAGTTTGTCCTTTGGGCAAGTAGCTCTCTTATTTTGCTTGCCCAAGGCCACTTCTTGCTCATCTTAGTAAATAATTTTGTTAGAGGATGACTTGCCCAGACCCTTGCCCATTAGGTAAGTGAGCTTTAAAAGTTACTTGCCCAGAAAGAAAATCTACTTGTCCTGGACTACTGAAGAGGACTTTTTTCGAGCCCTGGGTAGGAGTGTACAGACTGTATGCGATAGACTTTCTAAAAGTCCTTTATCTTTTTCCTGGTTGGTTACACCATTTTAAAGGACTTTTCCTGTTTGTCAAGACAATTCACCAATAGGAGAGTGAGTGATATTTGACATAATTCTCGACACAGCACATGTCATTCATTTTTCCCATGTGAATTTATCATATGATACAAATCCATTCAGGTGAAACAAGTCCTTGCTGCATGACCTCATTGAAGCTCGCTTTGCTCGATTTCAAGAACTTATGAGAGTGGTTGACTTGTAGCAAGTCTATGTATGAGGGTAGTTGACTTTCAGGCTCTTACAGCTGTAGCTGATGCCTGACATTTCTTTGAGAGAATCATAATTCAATACTTTAAAAACTTCTGACTTCTGTTACATCCAGCATATGGAGAAATTTCATTCCTGGAATCATTATTTTCAGAGTAACCTGAATAAATAAAAATGCTACAGCCGTGATATGTCTCTCTACTGTATGATCACTGAACTTACTTAGGATCTAGGGGTGCATCAGAGAGGGGCTTCATTGAAAGCTTACACAGGGACCTGAACACAAGAAATGCATCTTTCTGAGTGACATGAGAGAACTTGGCAGCCCCTGATGCTTGGCTGTTGACAGATGTTGATGATGAGCTTCCCTCTGCGTCAGTACCAGATTCACTCTGAGTGTCATCATGCTCATCAGACATAGGGATTGCCATCTCTATTGGTGTTGGTGAGGGAAGGCCATTAACAGTGGGGGTTTCTGGAGATGCTTCAGGAACTTCACCATTTGAGATGATGCTCTGATCTGGTTAAAAAGAGAAACAGAAGGAAACAGTTAGAGACGCAGTGGAAATTCAAAATTTATGCTACATCTGTACCTTTTCCATTAAATGTAACTACTTTAAGCACCATTTCTGCCAATAAAAATAATAAATAAGTTTTGTTGCAAATATTAATTTTATGAGCCTCACAGAACTNTCCTGGAATCATTATTTTCAGAGTAACCTGAATAAATAAAAATGCTACAGCCGTGATATGTCTCTCTACTGTATGAACACTGAACTTACTTAGGATCTAGGGGTGCATCAGAGAGGGGCTTCATTGAAAGCTTACACAGGGACCTGAACACAAGAAATGCATCTTTCTGAGTGACATGAGAGAACTTGGCAGCCCCTGATGCTTGGCTGTTGACAGATGTTGATGATGAGCTTCCCTCTGCGTCAGTACCAGATTCACTCTGAGTGTCATCATGCTCATCAGACATAGGGATTGCCATCTCTATTGGTGTTGGTGAGGGAAGGCCATTAACAGTGGGGGTTTCTGGAGATGCTTCAGGAACTTCACCATTTGAGATGATGCTCTGATCTGGTTAAAAAGAGAAACAGAAGGAAACAGTTAGAGACGCAGTGGAAATTCAAAATTTATGCTACATCTGTACCTTTTCCATTAAATGTAACTACTTTAAGCACCATTTCTGCCAATAAAAATAATAAATAAGTTTTGTTGCAAATATTAATTTTATGAGCCTCACAGAACTGCCAACTCCTGACTTTTCCACAGTTTTATATGATGATATTACAATGAAAAACATAAAGTAAGAGTTATAATTGTACATGTATATCACTAATTTTTTTTCTGAAAAACAGATTGAATTAGGCAATTCAGGAAGGCACTGTAACTTTTTTCCTCTAATAATATTATTTTTTTCTTTGCATCTGACTATCCACAACATAATCTAAAAAAGAGCTAAATTGGCATACAATTACATGTACCTGATGGGCTTTCTGAATCTTTAATCTTATCACCATCAACAAGTTTATTTTCAGTGGAAACCTCACTGCTGTCGTCCTCTACGGCTGTTATGTTCTGTGAACTCTCCTCAGCAGTACTGCCATCAACTTCACACACTGTTTCTTTTTCCACCCCACCTTGCTCAGTAGACTCTGCCATACTATCATTGCCCCCTTCAGGACTACCGGTTTGATGAGTTTCTTCAACTAGCGTCTCTTTAGTACCATCCTCAAGCTGGTCATCAGCTGTCAAAGAAAAGACAGCATTGGTTTGTTACTGAATGCACCTCAAGCATTCTAACAGAACTGCACTCTTTGTAACTTGTCTCCATCACCTAATTCGACAATGGGCTCTTCAAATTAATAAGAATCACAATTCAAAAATTACGTTTGTTTGTCAAATAATCAGAATGTGAACCTATTTGGTTACCAGTTACATCCATACCAAACCAATAAACACATATATTTGTTTAAGTTCAGATTACACATTTAGGTTTGCACTTTGTAACACAAATCATACTTTGTGCACCAAGCACACTTCAAATTGATAACTGAACAAAAAAATGTAAAACACATAATACTGAGTTCCCATATTTTTCATAACATCACTTTATCAAGATGCAAATAACAGTACATGTATTGACAGCATACAAAAAAAGTCGTGTCTGATAAGCCTGCGGCTAGTGGATTTTGGGATCTGTCAGTCTAGTAAATTCTTTTCTTACCTTGCCCAAAAGGCCAGTGTGGTTTTTTGGGAAATTTCAAATTACCGAAGTACTGTAAGACAAAGTCCCCACAAATTTATATGAACCAAAAGCCGTTTTCAAACTGATCAGAAGGAGTGAAATCAGCAAAAACTAGTACAGTGTATCTCCTAAAACTCTTGTTAAATATTATTGTTGCCGGGCATCAGCTGGCAGCAGACCACATTCTTGATCCATTTGAGATTAATTTTTTGGTTGGATGGTTCCATGGTCATCTTTGACTGCAGCGCTGTGCAGTCAGCAGTTTGCTTAGCTGCCGCGCCTGTTTTTCTCTTAGGAGCAACCCGCCATTTTGTTTTGCTCTCATGTAAGATCTGTGCAGAAATCGTAGTTTATCGGATGCTTGCTGTCTTTTTAAATGGCCTAAACGGTAAGAACAGTTCAAGACGTATTGTACGGAACATTTTTTCGGTTTATTTTTTTTTATTCAGGTTTCAAGATTAGTTATAGCGAGTATTCTTTTGTCGCACAGATTGTTATCTCGGTAATCAGGATTGTAAGTTACATAAGTGAACGGCATGTGCTGTACATCTACCTGACCTGTGAATAAACAAGTTTTGGCCTTTACGTCATTTGTTCGCAACTCATCTCATCGATCCTGTGTACAATGATTGTTCGATGAAGAAACAGCCTATCAGCACTGCTGTTGTTTTAGAATTTCGTGAATTATTAGAATGAATTACAAAATGGTATTGAAACCGTAGCGAGTTATACGAATGTAAGCATATTTGTCACCGTGATCCGTTCATTTTTTATATTACGCTCTGAGTGTTTCATAATGCCAGCAAGTCTAAGTTATTGACTTTAATAAAAAGAATTCATATGTTCAACTGTGTTCTACAAACTGTCTTCAGTTGTCCTATTCGCTTCGCAACTAACGGCAGCACTTGCCTTCTCAATGAGAACTTCTAGTTATAGTTGATAATAATGAATTTGTAAAGAATGGAATAAATTAACTAATGATGAAATTGATTAATCAATATTAATTTTTATCATCATGCTTGTCAAAAAGGTTTAAACCCGTCTAGTGAAAATGACTTCCAGGCTAATGTATACTAGCTTCAACTTTCCCAAAGGGAAGCTGTCAAACGGACTTTCTTTTGCACTCTGATTGGTGACATCAAGGATAATGACATGTTCCAGAATTTCGCTGATGGGTTTTCACAAATTTACCTTGCAAGTCCACCCCTTCATCTACATCATTGTCAGTCCTTTTACTTTCTGCTGCAGTACTGCTGTCTGTATTGCTTGCATCTTTTGTTTCATGGTTCTGCTCTGATGACCCTGCATCAATTGGATCAGACAGGGTGGAAGGAGTTGATGAACCAGTGTCCCTGTCAGGGGAGGACACAGACTGTGACTCTGTTGTTTCAGAGGGGGTGGGGGTTGAACTTGTTTGCACACTCTCCTGATCTTGCCCTGACTCCGTCAATTCTTCTTCGACAGCCTATAGATCAGGTAAGTACCATCAGTTTCTTTGATTCAAAGTGTTAAGACCAGATATAAGTAACAATATTTAACAATTATTATTGAATTTGGCTTTCAAATCATCTGAAGAATTATGGTTATCAAGGAGGGTGTTATCGGCAGCGGCAGATAACACCCTCCAAGATCTCCATAATTCCTCAGATGATACAAAAGCCGAATTCAACAATCGTTTCATTATTCATTCAAAATATTAATAACAAAGTGATAATTATGGCTGGACAGTCTGATTAATAGTGAAACTCTATTTTCAACTGACTAGTCAGTTCTGACAAATTGTAAACATCTTTAGTCTGCCTGGTTTTTTATGGAATTCATAATTCATAATTCAAGGATTGAAGATGAAAATTGGGACATTTCATGGGATTTAAAACTTCATTCCACTGTGATCAGCAGACATACTTACAGCTTGAGCTTCCATCCTTTGAAAAATCACACTTATCATCTGGCTAAGGGTAGCTTTAGCTGTTGTTTGGTTGATCAGATTACGACTGGCTAAGTAAATATTGTAACACGTTCGCACTGCTTGTAAGAGAGTTCCTTCATGAACTTCACATGAGTTTGAAGTAACAGCAGTCAGTAAAGCCTGGACACAGGAAACAGATCACAATAAATTCAATGAAGAACATACACAGACAAAGGTCTACCATTTTGAAGGACTTATAACTCAATAACAAGAGAGATTGATCTGCGGTGGGCACTTTTATCAGCCAAAAACTTGGTGCGTTTCATGTAAATGTATTGTTTAACACTCTCTCTTTACTTTTAACACTACAGCAAAACATTTTTCAATGAAATTTGAAGTGTTACATGGTAAGTTTGTCCATTTTAACTCCTCCAAAGCACAATGGATAGTAGGAGATATTATGGATAATGGGCAATTCCAGAAAATATCCATACCATACCACAGCCATCTTTTTGGAATTCCAAGGGCAAAGGGAGTGGGGAGGGGGGGTCCATTGAACAGGAAATCCGAAGGCATGGGGGGATACTTACTGTAAGATTGGAATTCCGAAGGCATGTGGGGGGGGGGAGGTTAGATCTGGAATTTCTACAGGGAACAGACAAGAGGCTATACCTTGAAAACGCTTATTTTATGGATTTTAAAATCAGTTCGCAAATAAAGCATGAACTGGCAACGCTGCTGACAACTGCAGAAGAAGGATACAAGACAAGTATCCATCAATCAGTGATGTTGTCCTGTTCATTTGTAGAAGTAAACCAACAAAACATGAGTTGTACAACAATCTCCAGGAGCCATAATGCTACAAAACATCCTTTTTTATCTTGTGAAAACAGCCTCATAAATTGTTTTGTCCACTAAATGCGAAACATGGTCTTTTGATCAAGGACACCATCTTAATTTTTGAAGCTTGTGGGATTGGGAGCGACTGCTGACCCTGAAGGCTCAAATCAAGATGGTGGAAATATACATTGGACATGTTCATCACAACAAATTCTTGTTTTAATGTTCCATACCAGTTTGGACCACTGTAAAGTTAATGTAGGTAGCATCTGTTGAACAGCGGTAAGGAGAAAAATTTCTGTTTTTTTAATTTTAATTTTCATTCCCTAATTTCTGGAGTCAATAAATTTCATTAACTTAGAGAACCTTAATGATCTGAAGCTGTACTCCCTCATCAGTCTGTACTCCAACAAAACAGCTACAAATAGTTTCCACTATCCGGTCTAGAAGCTTTTTTGAGGGTTCAGTGCTATCTGGAATGTCACCAGCTAAGTGTCCATAAGCTATAAGTTTCTATGGAAAAAATTCAAATGAAAATAACAGTCATGGTAAAGTAAAATAGTGTTTGATAGAGTATGCAACGTTACAGTATTAGTAAAGATTCAAGACACTCTTATCTGCTGAATTTCTCATTGTCATGCTTCCACAGGGTAGCCACTCACTTCCAGAAAAAAAAAATCCCTGAATTTTCCTTTAAATAATTTTTTTGTTGCTGAACTTCGAATTCAAATTTTTTTCAGCTTCTTTTGCCAGCCATGGTTATTCTTTTCCTGTTTGTGAATATCTTTACATTTTCAAAGGAATCTAGACATTTTTAATAGCATTTAGAGTACAGTAATTTTCTGTAAAAGTAAACCCTGTGACTAAGAACCTGTTGAGCCTAAAATTTGAAACGGGTTCTTGGTTTTTTTCTAAAATCTATGAAAAAATTCTGTACAAAAATTCTGTTCTGGTATGTAGGTTTTATATGAGGAATAAGCTGAACAACTGAATACTCTTAGCTATATTGTATGTCTTTTCTTCAGAAAATAAGAATCTATTTAAGAACCAAAATAGGCTTAACTTTTGCTAACTAGCATTTACATAAGAACCTGAGGCTAACTTGGAAACATCCAGGTTCTCAGTTGTGGGGTTTTAGTGTATTAAAGTAATTATTTAACTGAAAGCAAACCCTGCCTTTTTACTGACTTTGCCAAGAAATACAATTTTACATGACTTTTTCTATTTTTTTTTTCACAACTTTCGAAAAAAAACTGTTTTTCTGAATTTTTGTTACCTAAAGTAAAAAGTAAAAAATTCTAACGACAAACAGTATTTCCCTAATTCACTCTTTGATATTTGTTATAAACACAAATTAACAGTACCTGGAGGCAGTCCAGTGCTGTCACAACTATTCGAGGACATTTTGATTGGCAAGCAAGTTCAAAGGGTAAAAAATATCTATCTGCTTCAATAAATGGCTGCTTTCCCTTGGGCGGAGGAAGGGCAGATGATGGACTTTCATCACTACACAATACAACAAAGACAAAAACACCTTATAAACAGGCAAGAAAGACTTTCTGCTAATAACATCTTTCTCCTTATTGTGGAGAAAAGATCCCCAAACCACAGCAGTCCCCTGTTCAAGATGGATCCAAATTGTTTATGAAAGAAGCTTAAAAAAAGTAATTATTTTGATCCTTTCTGTGGCGTCAAAAAAATTTCACTATTCTGCCCATGGAGGGACATTGGAAATTCCAAGAGGGATGAGGGTCTTCAAGGCCAAAATTTTGAAATGGAAAAATTGTTTAATGAAGGGAAAATTATATTGCCAGAGGGGTGAGTGGGTGTTAGTGGTGGGGGAGGCGGGTATCAAAACCCTCTATGGGGGGCATATAGATTTTATGAACCAACACATCAAATACAAAAAAAAAACACTACAAAACTGGATGATGTGACATCTTAACACATCCTGTAAAATACAAAAGAATATCTTGCCAATTAAAACATATAGTGTTCTTTCAAGTGGGCCGTAAGAGGTCAAGATTAATTTGCAGTGAACTATTAAATGCACCAAAAGATTACTTGGTACAGGTGTACATATATAAAAGCTCAACGAACTTATAAAATGAACCTAAACAAATGTTTGCCCCAACATGCAGGGGTAAATTTTATAAATCAAATAGTAATATATGAAACTATACCTGCCATCTGCAATTACAGCTTTTTGAGATTTATGAATTTCTTCTGAAAAAAAAACATAAAAATGCTCATGTCCAGATACTATGTGTTTTAATGCTGTGGATCAATATTGTTAGATTTGAAAAGTTTTCAAACAAGTTCAACCATAATACTGTGATAGGTTTGAACCCAGGAGTCATTTCAAAAGTAGGTTGAGTTTAATCGTCCGGGTGAGCATAGTCCTGAATAGGACTGTTGTTGTTGACAGTGACTGAGATTTCAACAAACCTTTGCAGTAGTCATCTACAGAGGGATCGAAATGCACCAATTACATTATGAGTCTTCATAGCCAATAACATCATGGCTTAACTGACAGACAATCAATAGCATCATGAGGTAATTGACCAATCAGGTCAATAACCAGAGTATAATCTCATCAGCTGACATGATACAACTCACTTTGACTCTGAAGATGACTACTGCACAGGTTGTCTAAACGTCAGCCACTGTCAACAACCGTCCTATTCAGGACAACTTTCACGCGGATGATCAAATTCAACCTACTTATAAACCATAATCTTAATCAAAATTGACTAACTGATCAGGTTTGACAATTTTAAAACCAACGAAAGACTTGAGCAACATCAATAGTGCTGTGTTTCCTCAACAATATCAAAAGCGAATAAAATTACAGCTCAAAATTGTGTTGATACGGCTAGTATGTTGTCTCTATGAACAACAGACTTACAGCATAACATGTACATTGCTAATTTGAAATATTTAGAAAAACCATAATCACTACAACAGTACCCATTATTCTTTTACGATACAGACAAATCCAAGATAATAATTACAAATATTACAAAAAGCAATGCATGCCTACTGTGGGTGCAAAAAATATTTCTTTTGCTGAAATGTAGCAAAACTATGCAGTCACAATAATGTTATTATACGTAGATATCGATAAAACCAAGTTTACTCAGTGTGATGTTGCATTAAAATGTGGTGGTAAAATGTAATATGTTCCTGTTTCTGATTCAATATCCTGCCAACTTATTGTTTTCAGATCAACAGTGGATTTGTAATGCATATGTAAACAAAAAGTTCTAAGAATAGTAGCATGAGAAAATCTCAAATGTCTTAAGATTTGCTTAAAGCTGTTTTTCAAAGAAAAACTCACAACTAAAAAAATTCATAGTAAACATGATATTCACAACCTTCACCCCCAAAAATATTGTCCTTGATTCTTTATGATTAAAATAGTTATAAAAATAATACTGTTACTTTTGGCTTGATACATTCAAAGCTACAAATTTGCAGATGTCTTTGTGTAAAACTTTCTAACACATTGTGCAGTGATATTATATAAAATGTCATGACAGTATTAACACCAGTTCAGTAACAGAAAGTTATTGCAATATTGATCACTGACAGATACTTTTAAATAGGATTTTAGAACTAGTTCATGATCATGATCAATTAATCATTTTGCAGGAAGTTACTCTTTGTTATTGTCAAGAGGCAAAAACTCGGCGAGCTACTTTGCTAAAAGAACTGTTGCGTTGCCTGGATTGAAGCGAAGCAAAGCGTGACCAGATTAGAATTTCAAATAATCAAATGCCATCCTGATCTTAACCAAGTTCTTGATCAATACAACTTTATTATGAATCGCCTCTGAAAAGCGCAAGAAAGGACACCAACTTTGATCGCCGATAACATAAGAAAACACTCAAAATAGGCAATTGTCGGCCATAATGTGCCGTCTGCACTCACACCTGTTTTGAAGAGTGAATTTCTTATCTTTGAAAATCAAGCTACAGAGTACAAGCTGAATTTAAGCAAACAACCAGGGTACAATTGACTCTGACAATCAATCCAAGCTTAGATCTAGAGATAATAACTGGCAGCTGTGTAAAATATTTGAAATAGACTGTTTTCTCATTTCCCGTGTCTCACCTAGAGCTACTTCGCAAGCCTTCTTCAGTTGCTGGTGATATGACTTCTTCGTTTCCTTGTCGTTCAGTATCTTCTCTAGGGCCCGTGTAAGAAACATATTTTGTGTTTTTGTGTTCTCATACATGGCGATTGAGTAGAGTTACTCTTGGCAGCGATCGCCGGTGTCTTTCCGTTTCTTAGAATGATAAGAAAACCATTATTTTTCGGAAACAAACACCAAGGTTGCAAGTCAACTCATCTCGGCCGCCATCTTGTTCTCCGGATGTAGTCACGTGAGAGGTAGTCGTTGACGTAGCAGACCCAGTCTCCAAAAACACATCACCAAGAATGACGCACAAATCGACGCGGACCGCAAAATAATAACTATTTTTGTAATAATTATGTTGAAATGTTTTTAAAAGGTTCAGATTTCTGTTTAAGTGACGAGAGAAACATCCTTGCTCTTGAGAAAATTTGTATTTGAAGGAATTGAGTTGGGTCAGTTGGCTTTACTCCGCCCATTGTTCAATCAACTTGATGTCACCTAAGCACTATCAAATGTGACAAAATATTTCCCGAAAGCTTTTGTCGACAGCTTCATGTCTGAACATTAAGAGTCCAAAAATTCCTCTTTCCCCCTACCCGCGTTAGCGTTCGCCTCGTTTCAGCCGTATTTGATTACAGTCTTGGCTAGTTAATGGCTCAGCCAATTCCAAGCGTGCCCACCCAACCCCCCCCCCCCCCTAGAAATCCCAACCGCTCTGTTCCACTCGTTTACAGACACAGACCCCAGTTTCTTTTTTTGCTACTTAACCCATATCTACTTGTACCCAAGGTTTCTTTGAAAAAAACAATTCAGAAGACAAAATAAAGAAGTATGGGACAACGCACAGGTAGCCTGTGAGAGCATCTGGTTTTTTCGGCTTTAGTTTCACCCGCCGGAGGGAGAGAAGCGACCACCGGAAATACGTCTGCGGTTCGCAGGCTAACGTACAGGGCCCAGTTGTTCGAACACCGGTTAGCGCTAACCCTGGGGGTTAAATATTAACCCGGGTTTCTTTTTCTTGTTATCGAAAGCACTTTCTCGGATAATTTTCTCTATTCTTTTTAGAGTATCCAATCATTAAATTGTAGGTAAAGAGAATTAAACTAGATTTGCTCGCTCTCATATTTGAGTTCAAATTTCGCACTAACCCAGCTTCGAACAACCCGGCCCAGGCCGCTACCCTTTTTAACTGCATTCTCCATTTCTCACCTTTCTCACCTTTCCCAGTCTCCCTCGCAGCCGTTTTTGTCTTGTCACGCAACGGAGGGAGGAGCGTTGCGTGACGAGAAAAAACGGCTTCGAGAGAGTCTTTAGCTACGTGCAAAGGGACCCAACAACTCCCAACATTACCAACAATGTTGGGAGTTGTTGGGTCCCTTTGCATGTAGCTAAAAGTTTGACCGGTTTCAAACTTTGCACAACGACTCCCAACAACATGCACCAGGGTGTGCAAACCGACGCAATATATGTCACAACCAACAATGCTGGGCGTTGTTGGCCAACAATAGAGAGATTAACATTCAAGTTTACGGCAGACTGCAAATATGAGATTGAAGTTGAGAAACTGTTTCAAAATAGCAAATGAGCAGATAAAAACAGCTTAAAACAATTCTTATGTATAGAACTGGCGTGAATCTACCGATTTCCGTGTAATTATAATGAACAGCAAACGACAAAGGGAAAACTTGGTCACATCCTGTCACATGGTACAAACTAACGTTTGCCGTATACCGCGAACGCGACTCTAAATCTCTCTAATGTTGCGTCCGTTGGCAGAGGGCTTAACTTTTAGTCCTGGGTTCACTAAAGCAAACCTAAAAACGAGGTTATACTCCTCGTTCACAGTATTTTTAGGCAACAATAACAAAACTAGGACGAGTAAGTGCAAAAAATCTAAAACGTTATACTTTATTCATTTTACGGCTTAAATCTAATAAGTATATGTAGTGTTATTGCGTAATTTGCCATAACCCGGTTAAGACCCAAAACACAAGGTCGGTCGCACTCGCAGTTTTTAATTCCTCTAGTGCAGCCATACCCTGCGCGCAGAGGCCCTTCGATCTTCCTAGATAAGTCGGGAAGAGGAAGGGACTTATCTAGGAAGATCGAAGGGCCTCTGTTCGCAAGGCACTGCAGTCACAGTCAATTTGTGGTAGAGGCGCAGTTACTTTTTTCCATTTTTTTTTAAGTATCCCCAAAGCATATGGTTTTTCTTCAGTTGTCTATGTTTTTTAAGCTTGCCGGATGCAATGACTTCTTCAAGTTTGTCGTAAATATCCTGCAGTTTTCCAGCGAAATGTCTCTCTTTTTTAGATGTAGATGTTGATTTATTATGAACTGTTTTCTTCAGTTCTTTTGTTGTTGTTGTTGTTGAAGGTTTAGCCGGGGCCTCAATTGTTTGTTTACCTTCCACAGTCAACAACTTAACAGATTCCTGCGAATTTAATAATGGAGCTGCCTCCATAGCATTAAGGTTTCTAGTTCTATCAGACTGTTTAGCAGGAAGCCATTGCCGCGAGTTAAGATAATTCTGCTCTACAACATTTTCGTCAGCATAATCACGGTTCAGTCCTTCGTTGGCTGGTTCAAAAAATCCATTTTTTGCTCCATATTCCACTGGATAGGTGTTATAATTATTATTATACTCATAAGAGGGATAATAGTACTCTTGCTCAATACCCGATAATGTTTTGTCCCATACAACATTTTGTAATGGTTTTGGGGTGTTATAATCTACTAAGTTTTGTCTCGCCATTATCTCTTCATCTCCTTGTGTGTCGTAATGTGCTAGGTTCTGCTGTCCTTCTCTATAGACATCATATGCGGTATTAAGTTCATTTGNCCGGATGCAATGACTTCTTCAAGTTTGTCGTAAATATCCTGCAGTTTTCCAGCGAAATGTCTCTCTTTTTTAGATGTAGATGTTGATTTATTATGAACTGTTTTCTTCAGTTCTTTTGTTGTTGTTGTTGTTGAAGGTTTAGCCGGGGCCTCAATTGTTTGTTTACCTTCCACAGTCAACAACTTAACAGATTCCTGCGAATTTAATAATGGAGCTGCCTCCATAGCATTAAGGTTTCTAGTTCTATCAGACTGTTTAGCAGGAAGCCATTGCCGCGAGTTAAGATAATTCTGCTCTACAACATTTTCGTCAGCATAATCACGGTTCAGTCCTTCGTTGGCTGGTTCAAAAAATCCATTTTTTGCTCCATATTCCACTGGATAGGTGTTATAATTATTATTATACTCATAAGAGGGATAATAGTACTCTTGCTCAATACCCGATAATGTTTTGTCCCATACAACATTTTGTAATGGTTTTGGGGTGTTATAATCTACTAAGTTTTGTCTCGCCATTATCTCTTCATCTCCTTGTGTGTCGTAATGTGCTAGGTTCTGCTGTCCTTCTCTATAGACATCATATGCGGTATTAAGTTCATTTGTCTCTGTATTTGGCGGTAAGCTACTTTTCACAGCCGCTCTGTCAGGATTTTTATTTGCGGTATATTGAAAATCTTTATTTGTTTGAGGTTTAACTTTCGAACTACTTATCTCAATCGTTTTATCAACGGTTTTATCAACGGTTTCTTCTACTTTTTGTGTATGCAAAGATTGTTTTTGTAAAAAACCCGTAGAATGGGTGGGTGTACCCAAACCTTGATCCTTGTTTGTTCCCGTGGAAGAATAAATTGATGATTTGTTCCCTCGCGAAATAGGAATAGTACTTGTCTTTAAGGTCTTGATCTCATGTCTCTGTATTTTTGCTTGATGAGCTGAATGATTTTCTTTGAATTTCCTTTTACCACCACTTGTCCTATTTCTGTTACCAGGTGACGAAGTTAACGAGGGGTTGTTCTTTCTTCTAACAAAACTGGAACCATTGACATTACTATGGTAACCAGGTTTATGCTTTGCGTGGACTTTCCTTCCCATTGTGCTTGGTTCAAGCGGGTTTACACGGTCTATTTTTTCTTTGACAGGAAACTGAAAAGTAGTGTGCTTGAATAAAGCAACTACAGGATTTTTGGTTACTCCACAAATGTTGTTTCTCCAAGCGAGTTTGATGTAGCCGTCAATACCCCAGGAAGAAGACCATGAATTCTTAACAAGCCAATAGGGAACTCCATTCTCTTTACCATAACCAACGACTAGAACTGTGTGCCGAGTGGAGCTGTTGTCTGTAGTAGGAATGGATATAATAATTGCCAAAGTTTCAGGGACGTGAATGCACTCTAAAATTTACAAAACTGGTTATTTCCTTGATTAAGTTGAGTTTAGTTACGAATTCTATTAGTCACGATTGTGCTTTAAAAGACTCAACAACAATCGCATTGTTGCTCTACCAGCATGCTCAGAGGTACCAGCCGTATTACTGTTTGCAACATTCACTCAGTGAACAGAAATCGACCATGTAAGCTTGCGATATTACAAATGATCTTAAGTAGCTCAAGACTGTACAGGACTTTTCTTTTCTTAACTAGAAATACAAGGCTCCGGCCCATGCACAGTTGTTTAAAAGGTGGATAACGTTGTCCACTGGATAAATCTATCTACAGTATAGCACAATTGGTTTCCCTAATGATACTTATCCGCTGGATGGTGATTTATCCGGTGGCGGGATACCGCTATCCAACGTTTTATCAAAGGTGCCTGATGTATAAATTTTATCTGAATACACACGCGCTTAATTCAGACACCGAACACACGCACTAAGCATAATACAGAATCACCATATTTATCTAAACAGACTGACCACACTCTGAGTTGTCATAGATTCCCCAGCTGTAGAATTTCAGCGACAGTGGCTTCTGATTTATTGACACGCACGCTGGACCATATTTGGCTATCGCTCTCTTTAGAGCACTGTTGTTGTACTTTGGAACGAACGCAAAGGCGTCTATTTTTACTCGCTCTTTGATCCCAAGTGTTTCACATGTCCCCTCCTGCGTTGAGAAAAGTAGTAAAATCAGTTACAAGGGCTCAATTCTGATATTGATTATTTCGTCGTTGCGGATCAGATTCTTTAAGACCCAGAGGGCGGAAGAGTGCGTTATGGAGGAGTTGGACTTATTTACCCTGTTGGTTTCAGTACGAGTTCCTCTTAAAGGCTGGAGACAAAGGACAAAAAAACTCCGTGCTTTAGAAGGGAAATAATCATAGCCAAAGGTGAAGTGTGATACGGATCACTCAAGATATTTTATAATAGCAGAAATTTACGCTAATAATAACATGGTCCTGAAGTTAATGCCACTTTGTTGTGTAAACCTTTTTTTCCTTGCATTTGCTCATTTGTTCTTCGTATTTTTAGAAATTTAATGGTTTTGGGGTGTTATAATCTACTAAGTTTTGTCTCGCCATTATCTCTTCATCTCCTTGTGTGTCGTAATGTGCTAGGTTCTGCTGTCCTTCTCTATAGACATCATATGCGGTATTAAGTTCATTTGCCTCTGTATTTGGCGGTAAGCTACTTTTCATAGCCGCTCTGTCAGGATTTTTATTTGCGGAATATTGAAAATCTTTATTTGTTTGAGGTTTAACTTTCGAGCTACTCATCTCAACCGTTTTATCAATGGGTTCTTCTACTTTTTGTGTAGGCAGAGATTGTTTTTGTAAAAAAGCCGTAGAATGGGTGGGTGTACCCAAACCTTTATCCTTGTTTGCCCCAGTGAAAGAATAAATTGACGGTTTGTTCCCCCGCGAAATAGGAATAGTACTTGTCTTTAAGGTCTTGATCTCATGTCTCTGCATTTTTGCTTGATGAGCTGAATGATTTTCTTTGAATTTCCTTTTACCACTACTTGTCCTATTTCTGTTACTAGGTGACGAAGTTAACGAGGAGTTGTTCTTTCTTCTAAGAAAACTGGAACTATCGACATTACTATGGTAACCAGGTTTATGCTTTGCATGGACTTTCCTTCCCATTGTGCTTGGTTCAAGCGGGTTTACACGGTCTATTTTTTCTTTGACAGGAAACTGAAATGTAGTGTGCTTGAATAAAGCAACTACAGGATTTTTGGTTACTCCACAAATATTGTTTCTCCAAGCGAGTTTGATGTAGCCGTCAATACCCCAGGAAGAAGACCATGAATTCTTAACCAGCCAATAGGGAACTCCATTCTCTTTACCATAACCAACGACTAGAACTGTGTGCCGAGTGGAGCTGTTGTCTGTAATAAGGATAACCAAAGACAAATGGATATAATAATTACCAAAGCTTCAGGGACGTGACTGCACTCTAAAATTTACAAAACTGGTTATTTCCTTGATTAAGTTGAGTTTAGTTACCGATTCTTTTAGTCATGATCGTACTTTAAAAGACTCAACAACAATCAGATTGTCGCTCAGCCTTTCTATTACCCCGTGGAAAACTGTTTGCAACATTCACTCAGTGAACAGAAACCGACCATGTAAATTTGCGATATTACCGATGATCTTAAGTAGCTCAAGACTGTACAGGACGTTTCTTTTCTTAACTAGAAATACAAGGCTCCCGCCCATGCACAGTTGTTTAAAAGTTGGATAACGTTATCCACTGCATAAATCTATCTAGTGGATAGCACAATTGGTTTCTCTAATAACACTTATACGCTGGATAATGATTTATCAGTTGGCGGGATACCGCTATCCAACGTTTTATCAAAGGGTTCTGATGTATAAATTTTATCTGAATGCGCACGCGCTTATTTGAGACACTGAACACACGCACTAAGCATAATACAGAATCAGCATATTTATCTAAACAGACTGACCACACTCTGGGTTGTCATAGATTCCCCAGCTGTAGAATTTCAGCGACAGTGGCCTCTGATTTATTGACACGCACGCTGGACCATATTTGGCTATCGCTCTCTTTAGAGCACTATTGTTGTACTTTGGAACGAATGCAAAGGCGTCTATTTTTACTCGCTCTTTGATCCCAAGTGTTTCACATGTCCCCTCCTGCGTTGAGAAAAGAAGTAAAATCAGTTACAAGGGCTCAATTCTGATATTCATTATTTCGTCGTTGCGGATCAGATTCTTTAAGACCCAGAGGGAGGGAGAGTGCGTTAAGGAGGAGTTGGACTTATTTACCCCGTTGGTTTCAGTACGAGTTCCTCTTAAAGGCTGGAGACAAAGGACAAAAAAACTCCGTGCTTTAGAAGGGAAATAATCATAGCCAAAGGTGGAGAGTGATACAGATCACTCAAGATATTTTATAATAGCAGAAATTTACGCTAATAATAACATGGTCCTGAAGTTAATGCCACTTTGTTGTGTAAACCTTTTTTTCCTTGCATTTGCTCATTTGTTCTTCGTATTTTTAGAAATCGATTTGAACGTGTCGAGTATAGTGTGTAAAATATGCCCTGCCTACCTTAAACAACAAAATAGTAATATATTGTAACGTCACAGGATTAAAACTGAAGTTATGCGTCAACTCTTTCCAAACTTTCCCCCGGCTAATTTGTCTCCAACAACACTACTACAGTGTTAAAAGCAAACTTTTTCAAGGACGTTTTTTTACCGACGTACGTTAAGCGGAAGTGGACGCCTTGATTTCTTGGGCAGTGGTTTTGATTAATGTTTTGGGAATATTGTCTCTATAAGAGTAAAGACACTTCGTCAAGGCATAAAGGCATATTAAAAGGGAAAAGGTCTACTTGACTTTGATGTAGTAGAAAAAATCATCTACATTTTATCAGAAAATATTTCTATTTTGCAGTGTAATTTCCAATCATGTCTTACCTGAGCCAAATATGGCCCATAATTCTTTGCCTTGGCCACTCCGTTCATGTAAATCCAACTAAGTGCTTTATTGTACCATCCTCCTCTACAACCATGGTTCCCAGATCCCCATGAGCAGTCAATAACCTGCTGTGCAGAAAGTTCAACTAACTGACCTGTCTGAAGAGAGAACAGCAATAACTCAGTTATCATATAAAGGCGTGCTTCAGACTGCGAAGTTCTGATGTGGCAAATCTTGTTCATAGGAGCAAAACCAATCTATTATTTTTTTGTTGTTCAGCATTCAGACTCTGCAAATGTCAAGTCCGCCGTCTGGGAGGAACCTTGAGGCATTTAGAACACATTTGACAGATTTCCTTTTGAACTTCGTTAATGTACTAAACTATGAACTGTGCCATGTTACTAATTGAGATCAGAGAAGTTTCCAGGACATTTCTTCCCTCCCTTTTGGCTTAGAGGCGTCTTTATCTAACGATGTCAAAAACCGAACCTAGAACATCCAGTTGCAAAACTAGAAACAGGAGAAAATATACCTGCCCCGGTTTTTCAGACGTTGGACAGCTCTATCTCCTGAATAACTCTCTATCCAGCAGATAATTATTAGGAAAACCAACTGAGTTATCCACTGGATAGAAATTATTAGCGTTATCTATACCCACTGCAAATAACTGGGGACTAGCGCCAAGGGCTTGAAAACTAGAGAAGCCGATGCTGCTGCTAGTGCAATTGTATGAAATACTATCCACAACTGAAATTTTTCGCATAGTTTTCTACTGGCCTTTTCTCGGTCATTTTTTGCAATAGAAATGAATCGTACCTTCATAAAGTACGCCCCTTCAACAGCTCCAACAGCGCCTAAGGCGTAACACGATCCACATATACCCTGACCTCGGACTGGCGTCACAGCACCTATAACAACGCGTTACTCTAATCAGGTTAGTGACTTGGTTGTCGGGCTTTATCGTAAGTTCACATACTAAATTAAGGTTATTAACCCGGAAAACATGGGAAATATCTGGAAATGTCACAGTTCTCTCACCTGTGACGGAGATGAATATGTCTATTAATTCTTGAAAAAAAAAAACGTTATTTAGAGCTGGTGATACTCGACAGCTTTTTCAAGAACTGATAAACTTGTGGCCCTTAAGTGTATCCAATTATTGGAGTACATGGTCCAGACTGAACTGGAATTTTGGACAAGTTGGTGCAAACCCAGGCGACATTGATGGGATGGAGTGCTCTCAACACTGCGCCATCTCCGCTCACACAATGTACATCTTATACGTACGCGCATTAGATAAATTTATTCCTGGTGTTAAACCAGATGGGTCATTAAAACCGATCATAGCATAAGCAAAGGCAAAGCCTCGCCTATGTATAGGTAGGAGTTAGAAAGTAGCCCTCGCGAACTACAGACTCGCGCTCTACCAACTCAATAGGTGGATGAATGGTAACCCATGCTAATACCTAGCCAGCGTAGCGGGCACACGTGTAAATAAGAAAGGAGACGCTGCCTGCCGAGGGAGAAAGACGCGCACGAGAAGAGAGACAGCTTTCTCCTCTCGCTTGTTCTTCTCATTGCGCGCCATGTTTCTTATGCATGCACCTACCACGCAGGCTCTGATCAACCACTATGTTGGCTTACCGCCTTGTGATTTGCTTCTGGCCAAGAGAATTTTGTGACTATTCATTCTTACCATATTCTCTCCAATCCAACTCATCAGGTACTTCCACAGTTTTAAGAACAGCGCTCATGTTACTGTATGACTCATGGTGCTCCTCAAGATGAACACCTCCTTTGTGATCTGTATTGTTATCGTCAGAAAGTCCTAGTATTAGGAAGGAAAGAAGAGCACGCGACTTAGATCTTCAACAGGAGCTTATACTCAAGATTAGTCAGAACTTGCCAGCCTGTCAAGACCAGTTGTAAAGAAAATTCTAGTTTTAGCCAGGGAGTGTCCAGCCAGATCTGTCTATTCAGTCCTAAATAGCATATACGATTCATGAATTTGTAGGGAATACTCTCAGAGAAAGCCTATTTAATTATAATGGTAAAACTTGACTGTCTGGCCGACCACTTCTGACTTTTGGTATGCGCTTTTAGTTTTAAAGTTCGTGTAAGAGAGGAAGTTGTAGTTTAGTTACAAATTTTTCAGGCTTTTCAAACGTCAACATGTTGGTTTTTCTAACCTGCATGACCGTCATATTCCTCATCTGTAAGATCCACTAAATGATTCGGAGCCAGTTTGTAAGCCAGGTTCTGCCGGTTTATTGACCTGATGTATCTACAAATGAAAATCGTGGTAACTTTATTGGGCCTTAAAGTGATCTACCGTACAATAAACTCTTTTGGAACATCTCCTCTTCTAAAGGCGAGGTCATCCTTGATGTGTTCATACACTGCACTGAGTGCAAGTTGTGTAATGGAAAAAGATTATGAGAAGTCTGCCAACTGAATCATCATTTCAAGAGTGTCGATACAAAGAAAACACATCTGAGACCCTGATAGGAATCTAACCGAGATAGATTATGTTGTTACCTCATGTTATGGCGAAATATGTGCTTTCTTTTGACGTGTTCATGTTGGGAGTCGTGGATTTTGTTGTGATGATCTTTATATACTTGATACATCTCCTCCACTATGTCTTCGCCGTATGACATAAACTCGCCCATGGGATTTGATACAAAGTGGGAGTCGAGGCTGTGAGACCAGTTATAGCACCACTGATCTGGGAAAAAAATCAATGTGGGGTTTTTAACCATGTACGGTTTGTTACTATGTCTCCTTCCAAGTAATGTTTGCCTTTTCAATTCACTTGTTAGAGAGTGTTAATAATAGCATTTGCATAGAGATGAACAGGAGAAAGCGGGATAAACTTGCAGCACACTTGTTGGATCTTTTTCGCCTTCACTGCAAGACCACTGTGTTTCACGTTTTGGACGACGCAAACAATCTGGCAAAGTGCTCTCGCCCGGAACGGACGTTTCTGCTAGCGCTCCTTGTTCTCGCTATCGTGTGTCTGACGTAAGGCTAGTTTATTAGGTCCCTAGTCACTTTTAGTTGTATTTATTTCCTGAAAACATGATCCGCCTGGATTAGCTTAGCTACCCGTGGGCATGTTAAAATTGTATTTCAGTCTTAAAAACAAATAAAATGCATGCATGTTTTGTTTTCTTTTCGTCCGGAACTTGGATAGGGACCTAGGAAATTGAACTCCGGCAAAATTCACTTATTGAGCGAAAGGTGAATGATTGCAATGAAGTTTGCAACAGCGTAAATTCACTTCATCAACAGCTTGGCAAATTTTTACTGTCACCTCGTACCTTTTGGTAACTCGAATTTCTCCAGGTCTGGTTCCCAGTCCTCAAACGAGATGTATTCGACGACATAGTTGTCATAGTAAGACGCCATCAAACTATCATAACCTTTCATCTCATATCGCACTGGACGCATTGTGTCAAGCTTGCTGACCAGCAAAGTGTGAGAATTGAGTAAACCAAACACCATGTAACGGTATTCCCATCTAGTTGCAGGTGTGCCCATGTAAACTTCCTCACCCGCATACTAAAGGAGGATGGAAAAAAAATTACGAAGAAATAATTCCTCAAGTCTCAGTGGTTAGAAGAAAGGTTAGTGCAAATTATTAGTTAGTTGACAATGCAGCTCCTAAGTTACGTTCAGCAGTATATTGTTAGTCAAAGTGTAAAAGTGAGCAAGAAAGGATAATGATGTGAGAACGGTGAGGTAGGAAAGACGAAAAAGGAAACACGGTGCGTGGCAAAATCCGAGCATCTGAAGACTTTTATAAACACGCGAGAGCAGAGTTGTAGCTATATAGGGACTCCAGTTTCATGTACCATTTCGAATTATTTGTAACGGCAGCGCTTTTATCTAAGTATAAACAAAGTAGAAATAAATATTAGGTATAACAAAGAAATGCTCGGAAAACCCTAACCCTAAACCAAATACCTGAGTTAACTGTGCTCATGTTGCATCAACATGTAAGGTCTTGTAAGCATTTAGTGTAGGTGAAATCCGTGCACCTTTAATTTGTTATGTCTTCCTTAAAACCATAATTAACTGAAAAGATGCAGGCTCATAAAAGCATCCAGAGGTAAGTATGATTCATGATGGTGACGATGATATCTTCTAAAAGAGCTTCATCATCATCATCATCATTGTTATTGCAGTATTATACTAGAAGTCTTCGTCATCGTGGTGCAAAATTATAGTACGCTTTATTTTTGGAGACACCATATACCTGAGCGTAATTGCTTATAATTAAATGAAAAATCCGGGATTGGAGGAAAGCACCTTGCCTTGTCCCTAGGCTTCATTATTTCGCCGGGCCTATGCGTTTCCGGTCACGTGGTCCGAGTGAGTTTTTTAGTTCCGCTCGAATACGTCACTGAAATGCATTGACCGAGAAGACCTGGGAAGACGCCGTACAGGGACTAGGTATGATAGCACCAAGAACTGGAAGATAGACTAGGAGCGCTTTACTTAAGTCTTTGTCTCATCTAAATAATTGATATTTTTCCTTACCTTGAAGTACGTCATGTTCGGCACAATTGGCTGCGGGATGATGGGCCAGCCTTTATGTCCCTCAAGTTTCCAGCAGCCGATGTAGTTTCCATCTTTCTCTGTGTGCATTGGTACCACCTTTAATGTCACACCGTACTTACCAAGGTCTGCTCTTTGAAATGTTTTATCTGTACCTAAAAACGATATTCAGAGTGTCTGTTAGTGGAAGTTTATTGTGGCCTGCGACATATTTTCCACCTGTTACTAAGGCAGACTAGTAAAATACCTTCAGCTTTATAAAGTAGTTAGTCTTTCATTTTGCCGGTTGCCCGCGAAGGTCGACAAAGCTGGTTAATTCATTTCTTTTTGAGCTAGTGTGTAAAACAAAGCCCCGTTTTTGATGGGAATTAAACCGACAAGGGTGTAAAGCACTTAGGGTTATTAGAAAGTAAACCAAAGGCAAGAGGGAACTTTCAGAGACACATTTATCACATCAGTTTTCTCTCGTCTCCCTCATTGATTAGCCCTTGGGGAGGTAGCTAAGGAATGTTTGGGTAGGTATATATGTGCCGCTGTGACCCCGAGACCCACAGCCTAAACCAGACCTACAGTAGCTCAAATAGTTCAGATGAATTATGCTTTCTATACTAGACTAAACTCTCAAACCCCATTCATATCCCTTAGTCGCTATTTTCCAAAAATTACTGACGTCGATCCACGCTTTCTTTGCTGTTAACCTGAGTTTCGGGAAAATTTAGATTTACCGATTTTATTTTTGCAGGCTAATTCTCGGTTTCCCTCTGAGTCTGGACTAAAATCTTCAACCACATGATCAGTTTCATGGAAAATGATACCCTATTCTAGACTCAAATTCCGCCGCAAGTTCTGATTTCTATACCCTAGCCCAGGGGCTAAACTGCTTGAAAACCATACCATTCACAGCAACATCTCTTTATATATCCCATATAGCATTCCCCCCGGGCGATAAGCAGGCTTTGCCGTTGTAAATTTCCCATACGGAGACCGGTCTCATGTCATTGATCATATAATGATCATAATAATTGGTTTCGTTATGCTCCGCAAGCCAGTCCAGCTGCAATTTCAGCAGTCAGTTTTCAAAGCAAACTGAAATTTAATTATCCCAAAATAACAAGAATGTACCGTAATAATAGTCGATGCGACTTCGGTTATAATCACTAGTGAACCAAATCTCGAACGGTTCCACGATATTACTGTGTGGTAGAAAGAGTCTCCCGGTGGCGTGATAGTTTTTAGGAAAATTGACTGTGATAGGTGCGGTCTTGTTATTCCTCTCCAACGATCGCTTTGAGATCCTCAAGTCAAGATTGCCATGATAAAAGAGTTTGTAAATCCCCGTCGCGGTCAAACACAATGCCACCAGCACCACCAGACTTGATAAGACAGTCTTTTTCAAGACCATAACGTTCGCAATTTAAAGTGTCTGTTTCGTGGGAAGATGATATTGAGTGTTCGTACATTTGTCCTGGTAACCAATATTTCCACACTTTGCCCAAGGCACAATTGGTCTTAATGGGGTTGGCCAGCCATGAGAAATGATTCTATTTTAAGAAGATTACGGAAACTCATTGTTCACATGATGCATTGCGCCGGCGGGACACTGAAATTGGCAAAAATATGATCGTTTTAAGACAAACGCGCACGCCCTCTATGGCATCATTTGATGTCCAATCTCTTTCCCAAGGCAAACGATGATCTCTTCCTCAGTTTGTCATCATTCCTGTACACATTTTGACATTTAGCTTGTTGAGCTATTGTTTTTAAACAATTGCTTCCAACAGACGCAACCGGTATCTTACAGGTAGTTTGATGCTCGCGCTTCACTGTTACAACCAGTCTGAACTGAAATCTTCGACTTACAACTTGGCAGCCTTAAAAGCAGAGCACAAAGCTATTTAATTTTTATCTGTCGATTATAAGGGCCTACCGGAAAATTTGTAATAGAAATCTAAGTCTAAAAACAGATGTGGTTATGAATTAATGAAGCTTATACGTTTTATATTTGGACGTTGTAAATAAGACATTTGAGAGTTGGTTTGATACGTCTAGTCGCGTTCTGTTCAATTCGAAATGTCCTCAGATTAAGCGCCACAACACTAAAGTTAACTCAATTTCTTATCTTCGTTAACCCATACTTTTAATTCACTAGCTGGCTAGTGAATTTTTTACGTGTCGCTCTGCAGTCATTTTTGTAGAACCCTCGCCCCCTCGACATCCACGAAAATAAGACCATTCTTCAAACCTCACTCAATTCCCCCCTGTAAAACCTTTTTAATGTTGACGAGACGACATTTTCGTCTCAGCTCTAAGCGCTGTATATATTGAAAAATGTTGACTCGATTCTTAACTATAATTAAAGCATTATAGCTTTGCTCTGTGCTAAACGTTTATTTACACACTGCATTTAATCAATATTAGTGAAATCCAACTAGTGGTCTATTATCAATACTGCGTTCTGATTGGTTGAGCTATTACTTGGGTATATGTTATAGCCCCCTAGTTGTGAAAAGCGCGGGCTTTTTGGCGGCAAAAAAGGATTAAAATCTAGCTTTAACTAGCTAAAATTCTTTTATTCTTGTTATTTTTGGCCAGCTAGTTGGATTTAACTAAAACAATTATTCTTCTCGCCCTCATGGCCTCTGAGTCAATAGCCCATTTGGCCTTCGGCCTCATAGGCTATTGACTCAGAGCCCATTCGGGCTCGAGGAATAATTGTTAAATACCCAAGCCTTGGACATCCCTTCGTTCAAAGTTGTTTATAGAACATTTTGTTTCACTTTTTTTAGTTATTCCATTATCTACTGTAGGCCTGATTAGTGTTAAATTTCGTTTAAAATTTCTTTCCAGTCTCATCAACTTTTCTAAGATTTTAGAAGCATTAATTAATCAAAAAATTTATTAGTCCTTTCTTTGTTATCAGTCTGCTCTGCGTCCTTGGTCACTTTGAATCTTTTGAATACACTTGAGTAAACATCAGCTTTTAAAATCTCTCTTGGGCCTGGCCGAAGAACGTTGATCGATACGCCATCGCCAACATTTCCTGGAGGACTATAAAGGGCCACGATGAACACGTCATTAGCGAGCAGGCCTTTGCGTAGAGCACATCCTATTCCGAGAAACTGAGAGTTTTTCCAGACCAACTGAGTAAAGGAACTCGTCTCATCCTGAATGTGAGGGTAGTTATAACTGTAGTTTTTGCTTTGCTGTTTGGAGAAATAAGAAGTGGGTGTTGTAAATTATGTCATTTGTCACAAGGTAGACCATACAGCTGTAGCATTTGCGTTTCTTCCTTGCCTGATTTCATTCTAAAGGTTACATATAATATTCTACAAAGATTACTCTGGCTCACTTAGACAGTCAGCGAGTGATCATTAATCTCCACTTATTCACTTAAATAACTAAAACTAAGTAAGGTAAAATTAAGGAAAAAGTAAATTTACAGTATTTCGTAACTGCCGTTAAGGAGCTAATTAAACACTGGTTTATCTAAGATCACGCACGATCTCAACTAAGCTCAGTGTGTACTTCAAAAAAGTTAAAATTGGTCCCAAGGTGAAGAAGGAGATGATATGACGACCGATTGCCTGTGAGTTGATCCCAGGCCACATTGGTGGAAGGCGAGTGCTCTCACATGCAAACGTCACCACTGGCGCCTTGTTTGCTTCACATGGCCAGATTAGCTAATCGTTCTCTATTATCAACGATCAGTTCAATTGAAGACAAAATAGTACTAAACTATAGTTCCCGTTTCTTACAGACAATAAGCTGAAAAACTTTAAATGAGAGCAAAAAAAGAAATGTATTCGCCCAATGTAAGGGAATCCGGATCCCAGAATATTTTTGCTTGTGGAATCCGGAATCCGTGGAATTTTTGCTTGGGATCCGGAATCCTGGAATCCAGAATACAGCTCAAGGAATCCAGAAACCCGCTAACGAATACAAATCCGGAATCCAAGTTCCTCTGACAAAGAATCCGGAATACAGTACCTGGAATCCGAAATCCACGGCGTGTAATTCAGAATCCAAGACTGTCTTGGATTCCGCCGCTTGCATGGGGCGAAAGATGTATGATAATCGGTTCAGTAGGTAAATCACGCAGCTTTCAAGTCTTCAGTGGCAGTAAGAAGCAGCCCTTACTATTTGTATGGTAATCCTCACCGAAATTTACGAAAAATGGTAAGTGCAGGGTTAAAGAAACGTCTCTGTACCTGATACCACATATCAGTGGCTTTCTCTACCGCAGTGGCGTCACAGCCAAACCTTTCGCCCAGGAACTTTTCCACGTTCTCTCCCACACTCTCCTCCTCTTCAGACGGCACCTGAAATCTCTTGGCCTCATTATTCTTCCTGTACTGCTGTACCATCTGATAAGCCAGTTTACTCGCCTGTGTCGATAGTCTATCAGACCACCTCAGGGGTTGAGAATGGTGATACCGGCGATAACGATTGTGCCTGTTTAGTGCCGCTCCGGCAAATTCTATGGGGCTGCCTAAAATAAAAACATGTTGTAAGACAATGAGAGTACATGATTAGCGAGGCTATATATGTTTACACGGACACTAGAGCTCCTGCGACAGCATTGAAGAAAACCATATCGGACATGGTTTCTATTCACACATGACAATGGCGATTTCGGCGCGGTTTCTCTAAAGGAGCGAAGCTGGTGCCTCGCCGAACTTGAAAATCCGTTCGTCATATTTTATATCGGATAGGTTTCTGGGCCACTCTTTAGTGCAGGGTGAACACATTTTCATACTCTTGATACTGGATAGCTTCGGCTTATCGACGTGAAAAGCTATCCGGCATACAGTCGAACCTCCCGTAATTAAAGTGCGAAGATTTAGTGGTCGCTTACGAGAATCGAACAACAGGGGGTCTCTTACGAGAATGGGTTCCAAGCATCGTTTTAGCAGATAATTTATTGCATGCATTTTCTAAGTTGTGCATATACATGTAGATTCCCAGACTTCTTTCTATATTCTGAATGGCGTGGAACAAACAGCGCGGAAAATAGTAGCCTGCGTAGCGAGCATTTTCGTGCGGTTTAGGAGCAAAGAACGAGGAACACGAGGGGTGGGTAGAAAACGAAGACCAAAGACCTAAGACCCAAAAACGAAGACCCCCTCAAAATCACTTATAAATATCTAGAAACGGGTATCTCGACCTTAGATGTGTAAGAAACAACAATATCTTCAATTATACAAAATTTCGACCAGTGTCTTCGTTTTCTACACAATCCCCCCGGTGTGTAGAAAACGAAGACCCCCCTCAAGATCACTTGGAAACGGAGGGAAACTGCTTTTAACGACTTCTAGACACTAAAGGAGTGTAAGAAACAACAAGATTTTCAGTTACACAAAATTTTGACCAGGGTCTTTGACCGGGGTCNGGTACTGCCATATATGGGCTATATAGGTATGTGCCGCTGTGAAGGGTATGGTTTTCAAGCAGTTTACTCTAGGATAGGGTATATAAATCAGAGCGTTTGGGTCTAGAATAGGGTATCATTCTTCAGGAAACTGATCAGTTGGTTGAAGATTTTATCTAGACTAGGTACACAGCTACTCTAGGATAGGGGGATTTGGGGAGTTTACTCTAGTATAGGGTAGCAAAATTCAGCTGAACTAGCTCTGGGTAAGGTTAAGGGGTCCAGGCTCCCAGCGGCACATCCCCACCCAGAAATTCCTAAGGTGCCCCCCCCGGGGTATTATGTCCTGATTATGGCGTTTGCGTTGCCGTTACTAAAGCCCAAAGCCATCGATGTCTCTGACTTACCGCTGTTTGATTTTCAAAAGTTTTTTAACAAAGAGGAAATCGGGAAAGGCGGTTTTGGCGCTGTTTTTACAGCAGATTATTACCCACATGGTAGCAGTTTCCCTCCGTTTCCGAGTGATTTTGAGGGGGGTCTTCGTTTTCTACACACCGGGGGGATTGTGTAGAAAACGAAGACACTGGTCGAAATTTTGTATAATTGAAGATATTGTTGTTTCTTACACATCTAAGGTCGAGATACCCGTTTCTAGATATTTATAAGTGATTTTGAGGGGGTCTTCGTTTTTGGGTCTTAGGTCTTAGGTCTTCGTTTTCTACCCACCCGGAACACGAGTCAAAGATTGCGCGAAAAATGGCGTAAGTAAAAGAGCGAGGAGAGGTTCTTGTTTCATTTCTCGCGCTGCCAAAACCGAGAATCCCGTTCCTCGGTCTTTCTTTGCTCCGAAACCAAACGGAAACGCTTGCTACGCAGGCTAGGAAAATAGATACCACACCATGCGTTAGGTGTTCGCTTTCAAGAGGTTAAAAATATACCGTCAAGCCAAACAGTCAGGGTCGCGGTCGCTTTTGAGAGGTGGTCGTTTACAGTACGAGGTTGCTATTATAGACCTTTGAAAAGGAAACGTTTGGTGCTTTGGATATATAGCTGGTCGCTTACAAAAGGTGGTCGCTCATGAAGGTTCGACTGTAGTATAGACATATCCTGAACTTAAGCAACCACGACAGGATGACAGCAAAGAAAACGTAAACAAGTCGTTTTTATCAGCAAAACAACAACCCTGCACGTGCATCATACTTTTAAGTGCATTTCGTTGACGTCACTGGACGACTTAGACGTGAAACTTCTTAATGCAACGTTTCATCGAGGACGCGAACGCACGACCACAAATTTGAACTTCGGTGCAGTTTACATCTAAACTCGCCTACTGACACTCGATCAGCCGAGAGAGACGGCTAAATAAGCGCGATAAAGTTTGAAAGAACGCAAATTCTTTTTTTTAAAATCTTTTAGTGAATTTTTCATAGCTTTTCATCGCCGTCGTCGACGTGGTCGCTTACTGAGTTTCCTGGTGTGTTTCAGTGAACAGAAAAGATGACTTGATTACTAACCTATATTGATAGAGTCTGGTTTGAGTATAAATCCCTGTACTCGATGAATTTGTTCATCTCCAGACTCTGGAACCATTGGTCCAACAATACTCTTACCACTACTTCCCAAAATCACTGCCAAAAGAAAAATATCAAATTAAGCAGAAAAAAAACCCAGCAGATTTCCCTAATTCACCGGATATAAAGTTATAGATAGCATCTCTACAGACAGTCCAGGTCAAGATGCAGAGAAAAAAACGGATTGGATGTTCGGCGTCCAAGCAAACAAGTCGGAAAAAAGGTTTGACTGTTTCTGACTGTTGTATTCAGCTTTTCTAGCGAGTCACTGTAACAGGTTCAGCTGTTTTTGTTACGTGTGCTGTCTTAGAGCGAAAAGCTGTCCTTAATCTGTTAGCAGCTGGCCACTACACGAAACTCACAAAGCTAGAAACTACTTCCCATTCAGGAGATATCGCTTGAGGTGCAGAACCGTATGCGAAAGGAGTTCACTCGTTGCTCGCTTCGATCGCCACATAGCTTGTCCGTGGAATCTGAGACTATGGTCAATATGCGGTGAGATACACCTCAGGGCATAGATCGTCATTTAAAAAGGAAGAAACCAACGATCCTTCGCAGAGTCTAAATTAGGCTTCAAATACAACCACTTCTCAACGCTTCTTGCTGACTGAAAGCGCAGACGTCTCTCTCTCTCGTAATGTCCCAACGGCAGGGAGCGATCAGAGGCGACTATATTAGTAGGCTAAGTTCGAATGGGAATAGAGTAAATAAAATGTTGCTATCGCGGTTGTTTAAAACACAGCGGAGTCGTTGTAGCGCAATAGTTGAACATTAAACTTCCATTTACACCCTTGAGCGCGCTTTTCCCGGCCTTCAGACTATACTATGCGTACCATGAATCCAACCTTTTGCTTGCGGACTTTACGTATTCCATGGTTTCCACATTAACTGCACTCACCTGAGTAATGATGTCTCCGTGGCAAGTTTGTCCTGTACACATATGCTGTCTGTAGTTCGATTGACTTTTTAGAAGCTTTCGTCATTTGATACTCGTTGGAATCATCTAAAAAAAACTATTTACGTTATGTTCACACTACTACCGGATAGCTTCCCCCCCTGCAGTCCCTTCACGAAAATAATACCAGATAGGGCTACTGCACACACAAAAACGGCGATTTTGGCGCGAATTCTGTGGCGGATTGAAGCTGCTCCACGCCGAGAGTCACATAATAATCGGATTCATGCCCTACCGGATAGCCTTTTGAAAGATAGCCTAATTTTTCTGAAACCGCTTCATAAACAGTTAGATAAGAAAAAAACACATCGTAAAACAAATTAAAGACCGGCGCAAGCCGGAGGAGAGTATTTTACTTTTTTCTCACTGCATACACTTTCTGCTATTGTACAGCTTAGATCCAGCTCTTTCACGAGCTCATAGTCATTTTTCCTTCAAAGGCCTCATGAAGTGTTCTGTTTAGCAGTTAGAAACTTACCTGCAGCTCTTGCCAGATAAAGAGCGGCTTGAAAAAAAAGGAAATAATTTACTTCGATAATCCTCATCGTTTCTACTCCATCTGACATAAAATTCAAATTAAAACGGATCAACAGAATAAAATTAAAAGTCTGCGGGCAGTGAAAAACACAAGTAGCAAATTGTACATTTATTAAGCTTATATCCTGAGTGCCAGAAGTTGATTTACGATGACAATCATTTGAAAACCAAACGGCGAAGCAGCAAACTTGCGAGCAAATCGCCCAGAAAAGATAGATAAATAAGATCAAAAGACTTTTTTGGCCTTTAGCTAGGACGACAGCGCATTTTTTTATTCTTCAGGCAGTACAGTTATAAAATCACTAATAGCAATTCTCTTATGCGACTTTGAGAATTTCCTGGCAACACTTAGTATATTGTGAGCTTTATTTCTTGTTTTGGACTATTTGCAACTTACATAAAAAGATTGTGATTTTATAAGCATGATCAGCTGAAATAACATATCCTTAAAATTTGCAACAGTTACTACAAGTACATGTCAATCTAAGAAGCAAACTCCTGTGTGCGTCGTATATTCTCACGCAACAACGAAATTTGTTAGTCTTTATCGGTTTTTGTTGCCTTATAATAATAGTAATATGGAAACGTTCTACAGTGAAAACGCACTGGAAGAGAAAACTGTGATTAAATCCGTTTCCGTTATTCATTTACATAGCATTTAATTATTTTTCACAAACTAGCTCAGTATATCACACTGTAGTAAAGAGCTGCTGTCTTCGCGGTTGTCATAAACAAATGGCAACGATGCAACAGACGTTTACCAAGGTCTTCGCTGAGAGACACACGGTTCAGTTGACTAATTCATAGGAACGATAAACAAATAAACACGTAGTGACATGGAAAAGTGGACGATCACGGGTGGTCTGTATGTCAGGTATTCCACATCTCTCATTCTTGCCAGTTACGCTTCTGACAAAACAGGGAACTTTTGACGTGGAATACAAAAAAAAACTGACAAGGATGCGTTTTCACTGCAAGTAATCGTTTTAACGTTTTGCGCGTTGGACAAAAATTTGTGAAAAGGCTTGGCATATAATTTTCTGGTCGAATGCGGACTAAACACTGTGTTACAGGTAAAAGTATTGTTCGAATCAGAAGAAGTAACCAGCACTACATTCGTCCTTATAACTACAGGGTAAAAAAGAAAACAGTTTTCTGACATGTGTCTCGGAGATTAGCTACAAACTCGGGGAGATACAACTCGGAAACTGAATCGTAAAATGTTAAATATTATTAAGGTAGTTGCGGATGATAAGTTAGTGTACGGGATATTGAGAAGCTATCTTGGTGATGTTTTATGTTAACATCAAACTAACTTACCTTGTAGTTAATGTAACCTCATTTCAGCACCCTGGCACTAGTTTGTTAATACTACATGCCTATACTTTGAGAAAAGAACAATTATAAATTACAATAAAGGTAGGGAGAAGGCCATGACTGTCATGATTAAAAATGTATGAGCAAGCAAAGACATTTTCACCTAACTTAACCTATTAAACTCGTTCTTGCGTCACGAGCAATTTTTAGTCCAATTCTATCGGTTGTTCGCTAATGGACTGTCTCGCTAATGGCAAAACAGGAATGGCTCTTGCAGATGTGGATCAAACGAAAATAACAATTTTTCTGATTAAAACTAGAGAAGGGAGAACTTTGCAAAAAGCTTTTAATGCAAGTTCAAATGTGCTATTGCTTGTTCACTCTTGTAAAGTTCAATTCTCCCTTTCAATTGGTTTATTTTTAAAAAGTGAACTAAGTGCATAATTGTTGGACGACTGCTTGTAAAAGTACAAGCATAAAGCTTGAACTGTTGCTGTGGTGTAGCATGCATAAACGTATACGTTCATCAACACCTGGGATAAGCAATAAAATAGTTTTATTGCACGCGAAAAAGGGACGACCTCTTTTTTTTTCGTGTGTAACGGAGCACGCATACTATTTACAGCAGATGAAGGGGATCAGTCTTGGTACATGTTGTTAAACAAGAAATGCAGTCGTTTCTAATTCAAGTTCACCACATTGGAGAAAGGCTAAAAGAAATATTTTTTTATCTGCGTAGATTATAATCGTATTTCGGAATAACAACGTTAAACCAAACGGGAGTGTTGTTTCTTTAGGTAGTGAAACAGGCGACTGGAAATCAAAATCCATGTTTCTCCCTGAAGGAGGAGTCGCACCTATGACCATCTTATTTACTGGTCCAGATTAACTATCACTGAGCTACAACTCGCGTGAGGGGAGGCCAAAGCTTGGTTAGGACAAACAGTCAGTATACTGCTAGGAACGGAAGTAAATAGGGGCATATGCGCTCTGATGCAGGTGTGATGGTGAATTTTTAAGCCTGGTGAATGAACAATATATTTTCCTCGTTAACATTATTTTCGCGACATGACCGAAGTTCGACGTTTGAAACGGAGCTAGGATTGCATAGGTTAGTATAACGCCTGTGCTACCTCATGTCCTTAGGCTTTTTTTTTCGGTCTATTTATCGATATCTAAATAATTATCTTCGGTCTTTGGTGTCTTCGTTGAGTAATAATCTAGAGCACCCCTTACCCAATCTTCGCTTTATTCAATAACTGGTTTATAATAGTCCATTTTACAGTTACAGGTGGAAACGAGGCTGGAGTCGACCTTGTTTTGATACAACCCTTCCTGCTTTGTTATGTAAATCATGTCGTTCTTATGCTAACTAGTATTTTTTAAGCATAATTTCCATAGGAAAAGGAAAGAGGTTTGTATCAAAACAAGGTCAACCTCAGCCTCACTTTCATTCAAAGGCTAGGATAACTGTAAAATGGTCTATTGGGCAAAAGGAAAGGGTACGCTAGACAAGGATATAAAATATCCCCGTCGTGAAAAAATCGATCGCAGCGCAGGGAAATTAAAAGTAAGTCCATAAAAAAAAATAAAATAAAAAAAAAACACGCAAGGGATAGGAAGGAGACTAATATTAAATTACTGGTGACTATCAACCCGTTTTCATCGTGATATGAATGATGAAGCTGGGGTATTACAATTCCGTCATAGAGAATACACTAGGTCTCACCCTCGCCAGCATTTATATTGTTGTTATCCATTTCACACGCGGGAGGAGAGAATCAGTGTGGAGAAAATCGTCTTATTTAATTAAAGACTTCAAAAGTAAAAAAAAAAAATATGACTTATTCAAGTTGTTAAACCTTTTTTATTGGAAAGTGACGGAAACTTAAGATCTATACGAGACTACAACCTTGGACAATATACATAGAAAATTTAGACCCCACCTCCCCATTTAAATCAAGGATAGGAAATGGCGCATTTGTCTTTCGCGTGACTTTACCCTATTTCATACTGTTTTAACTGTTTTTCTCATCAAATTATCAGAATCCATTCTCTTTTCCTGATCTCCTAAACACGGAGAGTCATCCGTATCATCCAACGTATCTGCTTGGCAAGCAGTTAAAGCAAGGAAATATGTCTCACGCCCCATTTTATCGCAAAAGAAAAAGAAAACACACGCAAAAATTTTCGACCGGTTTTGAAAGGCAATCCCGCGCTATCGCAGACTGGCTAAGTGAGAGAATCAGTTTATCTGTCCAAATGAAAGTCGGTGTCTCATGATCGAGGTTAACATGAAGGTCCATATTTTAATTTAATATCCAGCTCAGTGTATATTGATGTACAAAAAACAGAACCAACTATACTGATTGACTGCCATGTTTTTTACGTGTGCGCATGTTGTTGTACTTTCCCGCGCTCGACTTGATACATTTGATTCCGCCGCCGAAATATCGACGAATAAGCATCGTTCACATTCTTACTGGGGCTGACCACATTTTCTCGCAGGGCGCGTGGGCTATTCCCTGGGGGATAATATAGAGCCACCACAAATATCTCGTTGCTAAGTGTTCCCTTTCTCTGTGCGCAGCCCATTCCAACTTCACGAGTTCCTTTCCAGACCACCTGGGTAAATGAGTCCGTATTGCTGTTTAGTCGCGGATCCGCGTAGCTGTAATTATTGCCCTGGTTATACCAGATTTTCGTTGCCTCTTCCCCAGCTGTTTCGCAGTCGAAATTGACCGCGGAGAGCTTTGCACGGTTTTCTCCAAATAGATCTATACCAGGGACTTGAATGGTTCCTTTGAGCGCCATTTTGTAGGCGAGTTTCTGGGCCTGTATGGCCAGCTTGTCAGACCATTTTAGCGGGGATATGTGGTGAAGAGCGCGAAAATTATTATGTTCTTGAAAACCTTGTCGTGCAAACGTGATGAACTTACCTAAATGAGGAGAGAAATAAAACAAGATGTTGATTTGCAGAATCCCAAGGAAACATGTCAAAGCTATTACTTCCTTTATAAATTTACTGCATTAAACGGTTTTTAGTTTAATTCCTAATCAAAAATTATCCCAGTTATTCCCAGTACGCATTGAACGTGCCAAAACAGATGCACTAAACGAAAAGAGAAAGCAATCAAAAGGAAAAACAAAACAAACAAACAAACAAAACGAAATAGGTGAATTTACACTACAAATGTATTTTTTTGGAACATTTTCATAAGTGAGTATCTATGCAGTCTCTTTTCAGTATGAAAACTGTCGTGGAAGCACGCTCCAAGCCACCTTCAGGAGAAACAATCTATGTTTATGATCAAACGTTTCTCGATTGTTCCTTGTGAATAGATGCAGATGGTTGTCTGTTACGGTTTTATTTGGGAGGTATCTATCAGATGACAAACCTTGCTCACACATTCACGAGTTTTCAATCACGTCTAGAACGTTCTATTTAGGTATATTACACGTGCTGACTTTAAGTAAAGGACATGGGTTTTTGAGCCGTGTTGGTATGAAAATGGGTACTGATTTAAGCCATTATCTGAAAAATATATTGACTTCATTGCCTTCACTCGGCTTGGATAGGGTAATGGATTCGTGCACAATTTTTAGAAGCCAGGCCTGAAACCGACAGACTATTTTGATAGAAGCAAAGTCTGAAAACGGCTATGGAAAACTGTATGATTTGGTATAAGATATGGTCAGGCCCTGGTCAGGTTATTGCAGTAGTGCTGTATTTATATTTCCCTGACAAAGTGTCATTAAAAGGTCGCGAAAGTTTACGGCAAGTCACGAACTACTATTCGAGTCAGTCAAGTGTTAGGGGCGGATCCAGGATTTTTTCTAGGAGGGGGTGCACTCGTCTCTTGCTCTACTTCAACACCAATAAACCACATAGTTTTTTTTTTTTGCAGAATACCAGTTGTATTAGAAAACCGTAGGTCATCTCAGGGGGGGTGGGGGGGGTTGCGCACCCCCTGCACCCTCTCCCTAGATCCGCCCCTGAGTGTGTTCCGTAATGTGTAGCATACTTTTCAGAAGCCCGTTGAGATCTCTTTGTTGGACTTCGCTTTGCACTTTCCCAGCAGTTTGAGCATCTAAATAAGAAAAAAAAAGAACATTTTTTAAGTTTGATGTGTCAAGCGTTTCCTAAATCGAGCTTTTCGGGAGATTAAGAATCCCTTTGGGCTAGCACTGAAGGCAAAAGGAGTTTGAATTTGTGGCAAGTTCAGAGACCAGAGGAGGGATTTAATGACAAAGCCATCTTAACTACGGTCTGTCGAGTAGGCCATTGTTGAGAAATAATACTAACGATATACTTTTCCTATCCGGACCCAGTGAAGTAAAGTCGAACCTCCCTTAATGATCACGTCTCCACAACGGCCGCTTTCTTCTGTTCCCGAGGTGGCCGTTGTAAAGAGGTTCAACTGTAAGCTACTGTAGGCTGTCATGAACTTAGACCATTTTAATGATATGGTTTCTGATAAGGCTGATCGTATGTTAGTAGTGGATACCATGCAACCTGAATTCTATATCTTCCATTTCCTTGACTAATCATCAAATGTGAATTTGTTGATGTTTTTTCTGCGTCTAAGTCCCTTGATTTTTATCTCCAAGCAACTAAAGCAAAAGATCCAAACGCCCGAATTTGATCTGGAATCAGATTCTTACACTTTGGTTTTTAAATAGGGTGGATTCCAACCTAGTCCCTAGGCGTTCTCTCCTCTCTTGCCCCGTTGTCCCTCGGTGACGTCACAGCTCACGGTAGAGTCCAGGATTAACCGAGCCGAGAACGCCTAGGGACTAGGCTGGGTGGATTCATTTGCAACATATGCGTATAGCTGTCGCTTTTGCCCACTGGCATTTTTTTAAAAATTGTTTTTAGGCTTAAAAACAATACAAAAATTCCAGCAGGCAAATACGAAAGCCATACGCGTACGTCCAAAAAGTCGCGAGAATTCGATGTGGGATCAACGCACGAGGGGCTATATTACACAGATATCTCTCTTTTTCAACAAAAATACGTAAATTGAACCCGATAAAAACGACGTCACAATGAAATCAAGGGTGAATTAAAGGAATAAAATTGCATGAATCGCCGTTGTTGGACAGCCTTTTGACAGCGATTTGAAACCGGAGTTTCTTACTGGGTACATGAAAACGTAATCCGTAATGAAACCATGTTGAGTTCTTGCCTCAGCTCTTCTTAGCTACAACATTGGGGTCTTAACCTCAAACACTAGCAAAATGTTTACTTACATTTATAGTACAACAACAAGCCCACTGCAAGAAAATAAGCTTTAGTGACAACGAACTGCCGGTTCATTAGGCACGGTCTCTTGCTTCTGATTTCTATTGTAGACAGAAATGGCAAGTTAAATAGCAATCGAGTGGTCATTTATCCTTTTACAGGAAATCAGGATATACAAATAGAAAAAAACCCGTTTTACACTTGTAAGCAATATTGATCCGACACTGATGTCTAAACTCAGTTACAGCTGCTTACCTGTACGAAAAGATCTTCAAGAACCATCAGCCATGTTTTTGAAATTTAATCTGGAGAATAATCGCTTCATAAATAGAAATAGGTTACTAGATTTATGCTTGTACTTGTGCCAAATTTTTAGTTTCTACTTTGAGTTCACTGACTTAAATCCACCAGGGTATAGTGTGTAGTTGTCCAGAGCTATACGACAACAACGCTCAGAAAATAAAGAACGTTTGACCAAATTCTTTTTCAGGTGGTTTAACATCTAAACATAACAAATCGCTGAAGCCTCAACGTAATACATAATTTAGAACAATTAGGAATTTGGAAACCTAGTAAGTAACGACCGGACGACAGGTATTTACCTGGTTATTCTTCTTGCCATTTAACAATCAAAAAACGGTTTTCATAGTTCAATGACCACTCGGCTCGGTTCTTGAACAGCAGAGCCTTTCTTTCGCTTTTGGCGTACTTGAGAAAGAAGAGGGAAGGAGACACTGCTCCCACTAGGGTAGGAGCATTTTTATTCTATATAAAGTTGTAAAACACAAATAAAGTAGAATGGTATTAAAAATCAGAGGAAAGTAGTTGAGTTTTGGTATTGATTGGGGACATTTTACGGGTTTTTGGACATTGTTTGTAGCGGAACACTATACAAATACTTTTCTTTTGGAACACTATATTTTAAGAATGCCGAGAATGTGAATTTTCTAAAATTGAAATCTTGGTGAATCGGTTTCCAGATATTTTCGCTCGTCACACTTTATCGTCCCGGTAAAGGAACAACAAATACATGTAGTGCTAATAAGGCATCTCATTTAATAATTTCCAAACAATATTCCTTGTTAAAGCAAAAACCTTCAGCAGTAAAACAGTAACCGTAGTGTTTTCAACTTTTTTCTCAGAGATAGTTATGCAGCGTGAATGAAGTAAAATCGCCTAGACGTGCATCGGAAAGGCAAGTTACAGCACTGCCTGCGTGTTTAGCCTTTTATATAATTGCTTCTTCCAAGGAAAGTAGGATACTACTTCTGTTATTAACAAACCCAACATCCCCCCCAGTAAGGGGGGGGGACACTCAAGAGGAAGATTGGAGAGAGGTGTGCCGCCCACGCCTTCAATCCCTGACACCGCTTAAAAGACATGAGACCTTATTTTCTGTTTATGATCCTGATTTGTTCTGTTTTGCCTTCAGAATCAAGTAATTTTTCATTCTAACATCTCGGAATTAGATCTTTTTGGGACAAAACTGCTGGTCCCACAAATGGAGATCACTGATAGCCAGCCTTCATACCCTTTTAAAGGCTGCCAGGCCAAAAGGCATCCTGTTCAAGAAGATGAACAATAAAATAATATTGTTTACCCTCTTTAAGATTCAAGACCCTGAAAACCATCCCTATTCAGAAGCACGTACCTGTTTAGGCCAAGTAAGGGAGTGCCCCCCTCCCCCGGCACAAAAACACCGATGACGGGAGCCACTATCTGTGCTCTTAGTAGCAGTAACAATCGAAGCAAAGCTGCAAATGTTTTATCTATCCACAAAGGACATATGTCATGCCACTCACTATTTTGGTCTGACAAAAAAAAAAATTGATGTGGGCATACTGAGTCAAGGACGCATTATGCCTCTTTAATGAAAATCGTGCCTGGAACAATTCAAATGTGCTAGGTTTATTCATTAGCAAAGTGATATTCTCTGGTATTGATTATGTCCAGGATTTTGTCCGGCATGGTCTGATGGCCAACTGACATTTACTTCTCTGAAAAAGGGTCTTCTCTATGGTCAAAGGAAAATACTGAAAGTGATATTTTACAGAACTAATAGGCAGGTGATGNCTCTTTAATGAAAATCGTGCCTGGAACAATTCAAATGTGCTAGGTTTATTCATTAGCAAAGTGATATTCTCTGGTATTGATTATGTCCAGGATTTTGTCCGGCATGGTCTGATGGCCAACTGACATTTACTTCTCTGAAAAAGGGTCTTCTCTATGGTCAAAGGAAAATACTGAAAGTGATATTTTACAGAACTAATAGGCAGGTGATGTACAGAATTTAGCACTTCCTTTTTAGGACTGCTAACAAGTAAAAAAATGATAATAATAATATTAATAAAAAATGATAATAATATAATAATAATAATAATAATAATAATAATAATAATAATAATAATAAACTTTTCTCAAACTTTCTGTCCTTTTGTTTTATCCCTCACATTTTTAAATCATCAAAGTCAGCTACTTTAATAGTTTGCTGGACTTCTTGTGAAACTTCTCAATGCCGCAATTTTACACAGGGGTTTTTTGCTTCAGTTTGTTCTACAGTAGAAATTCTGATTTCCTGAGCCCTCAGTTTCTGAACCACCCTCGCTGTAATCCAAGGCACAGCCACTACCCTTCCACAGTCAAACAATATAAGTTTAATCCCGATATTTCTAACCACCTTAATTCAACCAATTTATTTCTATCCGTGAGTTTTGAAAAATAAGTCTACTAATATACAATTTAGATTGGATCTTAAAACAAGTCACAGTGGTTAGGAATTTACAATCCTTAAACTACGCACTAGTTGCAAGTATTAAAAGGTTTACAAAACTTCATGTGGTTATTGCAGTATTTTAAAGTGGGACACTAGGCATCCTTATAAGCTATGTACTTATTGACTGAGTGGGAGGGCTGGATGGGAAATTATCTGGCTTGAGGTCTGTGCATTCTGACCAAGGGCCAAATTTTTCCTGTCCGGCCCGACCTAACTTAGTCGATAAGCATTTTATCATATGACCATTATGCTTTGAATTTTTCTGACTGAGAGAACCTGAAGCGATCAGTACACATTTCTAGAGGGGTTGTAAGTGTTTTTATGGCCCTATCACTTGATGTGTACAGCCCTCATACAGGACTTTTTTCATATGGTTTTCAAACAAAATTGTGGTACCAGGCTGTACGAGTCATATGATAAAATATTGTATTAATCAGGGCTTAAAACCCAAGCTAATCATTGCTTTTAGAGTCATTGTTGGTATGAACAAGTCTATGTGTTCTCAGATTACTGAAGTATTTAAAATTTCTGTAGCAAATTTCACACTGAAATACTTGTCCATTCCCAAGTGTGGAGCTGTTGCTGTCTTCAGGGAAGCTTTCCACCATTTTCTTGTGCACAATCTTCATGTGTGATTTCAAATTACTAAAGTACTTGAACTGCTTTACACACAAATTGCATTTGTATGGTCTTTCAGCCCGGGGTGAAAGTATAAAGCCAGCAACACAAACATCACTTTTTGAGTGTTCATCTTCATTCAAGTTCTGCAGTCGAGGAACAAGAGGCTTTTTTCTGTCCTTACACTGGATTTTTGAATGAGTGAGGTGCAAGGGCTTTAATGTTTTCTCAGTAAATTGTTCACTGGAGGGTAGAGCAAAATCATTTATTTTTTCATTTATCTCTTCTGCTTGATTTTCACTTTCATTTAGTGGAAGAATACGACTGTACTTTCTCAATTTAGGGCTCAGCCTTGTGAAAAGAAAACATAGGAACACATTAACTGGAATTAATATACGAAAGGATGGAGAGACAATCAATATATGAGTAATAATAAGTTTTATGATCACTTTGTACCTTTCACCTTCTAAAGAGGTTAACCCCACGTTGTTGTTAGCTATAGATCCTTCCTATAAAGAGAGGACACATTATTAATATTTTAAATAAGCATTTTCAGGTGATAATTCACTTGGTATTATTTAATTGAGCATTTTTTAGGACTATAAATTTTGCTTATACTATTTAATCATTTTGTTTTTTACTGACAGTAGTAGGTATGCAATTATTCACCAATGCATTGTTGGTTAGCCTGCGAACAGCGCACGCATTTCCGGTTGTTGCTTCTCTCCCTCTGAAAAATAGCTATTTTTAGAGGGAGAGAAGCGACGGCCGGAAATACGTCTGCGCTTGGCAGGCTAATTATTGGTGAGCCATGAATGTAATTCCCACCATACGAATAATGTGATGACCTGTGAGAAAACACTTTCTTTAATTATATGCTCTCTGTAATGGCAGCTGAACGAGTTTATCTTTAGGATATGCTGTATCAGCACCTTGACCAACGGCAACAACCCCCCGTCTTCAAATGTTGAGAATTGATGGTGGTTACCCAGGGATTTGAGATAAAGTACATAACAGTACTAGTATTTGAAATAAAGGGTATCATGTTGTTCTTACGTGACCACAAGTAAAAAAGAGAGCAAATACATTGTACAGTACCTGACTCTTTCTCTTGAGCCTTCCTGATTTGAAGGATGTTGCTGCATGTTGTACCCCAACGACTTCTCCCATGTTTTCTCTTTGTCATGACAAATATTAAATACTGAAAAAAAA